GTATAGATAGTTATTAGTAAAAAATGTACTAATATATTGGAGAGAAATGATGATGAATAAAAAAATTCTGTTTCTCGATGAATGGAGTAACAATTGCTGTTCATCGTGTTACAATCTTGCTTGCGATCTTGAGTGTAAAAGTGGGAGGAAATAGTTTTCTTCTTCTCCGTTCGTGAATACAAATAATCATATGTATTATAATAATCGGAATATTTAAATGCCAGTATCGCAACGTCCGTGTCGATGAGTTACAAGAAATGTTAATGAGACAGTTACATAGGAGCGTAATGTATTTTTTTCTTTTCATTTTTATTTTGATGCGTGTGTGATTGTGCCTTTGGTCCTTAGGTCAGATAGGCTCTAGGCAAGTCTATTAAACATAGAATAACAGTCATTATAGATAATAATTTATAAACTTCAGATGCATAATTATATATCTTCTTCAATATATTATACATTAATAGAATACCTTATTCAATATGTATGTATATTTATATATTTTGTATATATATATTTTTTCTTTTAAATACATACTATATACGATTCCTTTCTGTGCCTTGGGTTTTTTTCCTTTTTTTAAACTGTGTTATTACATTGAAAGCTAACGTTGCTTAAATATTTAAGACGTGTTTCGTGTCGTAAAAGTTTAAACAACACATTCCGCTTCTGACTACAGAGTCACCGTGCCATCTCTGCCTTCTCTTCTGTCCTTTTCCATTTCTCCTATTCAATAGCAATCGTAATAATTTACACGACCGTTACGAAGAATTGATCGCCGATTAACATTTGTCCCCGATTTCAAGAAGTTTTATGCGTGGTAACATTTATTTTTCAAAAGTGATTTCGCTATATAAATAAAATATCCATATCATAATTTTGCAATTCATTACAATCGTATAATAGTACATTTATATAAGTTATGCTAAGAAATTATCATATATACAATTAAAAAGTTGTTAGGAAATATTCTTTTAAATAAGTTAAATTTACATTGTATTACGATCCATAAAAACGCACGTCCCTCGTTGCTATCCGAGGCCCGAACAGGCACAGTTTTATTATTATTTTGCCGTCGACCTCTCGGTTCATTCGGATCACCGTTGACTGTTCGGATAACAACCAGCGAAAATATCTTCTTTTTTTTCTTTAGAATCCGTGTATGTGTGTATACGTGTGCAGTTCATCGTCAAAAAACGTGACACAAGTGTGTTGCTGACCTATCAAGCGATGTATTGCGCGGATAGATATACAATAATTATCCTAAAGCTAAAAAACGAACTGCCAAGTGGCGAGTTATGCGAAGTCACCGTTTTAGATCTCTCTTCTGTTCACTTACTTTTCTTCCATTTCACATCTCGCGTATTATACTCTTTCATTCAAAAAGTGTTTACAAATATATAATATCGCCGGTAACGATTGGTCGGTCCTGTATCCGAGTTGAATTTATTATTACTTTTATTTTTTTGTCGTTTCTGTCCACATTTTTCTTCTTCTCGTAAGGATCTACTTTTGTTTCTTTCTTTTTTTTTCATTTATGTTCTTCCGTTTCATCATTTCGTTTCGAACAACACGAGAAAGGCGTTGTACATGGACGGGTTGGCTTAGTGAGAGCTACAGCGAAAAATCAACGCTAGCCGGACTAGCGATGACGTATGTGTGTATCTATGTATGCAACGTGTCTACGTGCTAGTAAACACTTGCATACGTTCATTTAATCGCGAGATTAAACGCAAATGTTTCGTAAGGCAACTTAAACGTAAACGAAAGGCAAGCAAATTCGAAGCGTATAGGCCATGAGAGTGATAGCAGTTATAATTCGTCGTGCATATATATTTGTTTCTCGCGAAAGCACCGCGAGGGTAGAACTGGCTCGCGTTCACTTTTATTTGATACAGTCGCGAATAAGATCTATATCGAGCGGAATTTCATCTTATTTCTTTTAAATGAGTAATCTAGTTTGACGTGCGAGGACAGGGATACGTCAAATTAGATCGGAGTATTACATTAAGAATTCGTTTTTCATTATGCACGCCCGTCGGATGTGAATTCGTTTCTTGTTCCTACGGTCGCCTTAAATGCTTCACTGATCTCGCCTTTCCTCCGTCATGAACCGATCGACGATCTTCTGCATTGACTCTCGCAGCTCGTCTGAACCACCGGCAGTACCGCTGGTCGATGTGATTACTTGTACAGTTCTCGTTATTCTGCAAAGAAAACGGTTCATTTACCCAAAATCAATTTTAAAATTGATTGGATGCCTCATCTAGCTGATTAGTTAGAAAAATGTCGAACTGGGTTCTTTTTAATAAATACCTTTCATGCGTTTCAGGGTCTTCTTCCGTCGTTGTCGTTTCCATGTAGGATGGCTCGCTAAGTTGCAAAAAGTCAGATTCTGCGTAACAAACGAGAACTAATCAAAATTCATGTCCCATCGTACAAAACACACGATATTTAATCTTACTATTCTTAGCGGTTCACATAGATACAAGTACCAATCGTATATAATCTCTCAATGTTACGCCATGCCCAAAACAAGGGATATAATACTAGACACATATAAAAAAAGTAACAACATCGCTAGACATCTGACGATACATAATATAATAATACGCACTTTTACTCAGTCAGCCAACTATGCAACCGCTTTTCTTATCGCTTATCATGTAACATTTTTTCTTTACTATTGTATCGTACGTGTTTCAGTTTGAACGGTCGTGTTTGAAAGGACTGTAACCGGAAATGGTACAAAGAATCATCCATCATTCAAAAAAATCGTTCAGTTGAAGACTCTGGATTTATTTCAATGACTAATGATTTTGTTTTTCTAGTTACGACACTTTCGACGACTTTTGTAACGTTTGCCACAGGAAGTGAATAAAGATATTGGCATTCGACTCCCTAGCACACGATTAATTATTTACGCATGCGATCTACGAATGTAAGAGTGATCTCGACTTTCGATTTCTCGTCTATTTGTCGCTTTTACTCTGTCACGAATATTTATTCATTATATGCACTAATAGCAGCGCTCGAGAGTTCGTATTTGTTGAATTCACGATCGACTAGAACGCAATTGTCCTGACGCGTTTAAAAATCCATACAGGGAAGTTCTCAATTCTTTACGCCTCCAAATAATTATGAAACTCTTTAAGTTATCAAAGTAATAGGAAAGAAGATGATTGTGCCACAGTTTTTATCTCACGTCTTCTACATTTGCAATTGAATTCATGACAAGTAGAACGTGTTAATGACACACTTTCTGGCCAAAGGAATTTCTATTCCGTCCCAATGAAGATCACGCAAGGCCGGCTAATCCACTTACAAGGGTCGCTTTTATTACTGAAGGATGAACGTACCGGCGAATCGTGCATATGAATGCTTGCGCGGATAGTAAGATAGAAAAGGAAAGGAATGGAAGAGAGAGAAAGGAAATGTCTAGTGCTCCATGTTTGATAATGAACTTTGGGTCTGCAATCTCGAGCACAGAGAACCCTCGTAATTATTTCAGACATAGTGTCAAACATGGGACACTTGAGACATGAATCGGACCGCCGTAGATCTGTAGCCGGCCTTAGGTCACGAATACAATTTACCAGACTACTTGGCTATTCCGTGAAGTAAACTTTCTAAAACCAAATACTACATTCCTCGGTTCGATTCAGTTACTTCAGAATTCTCAAGAGTTTCACCGAGGAAGCGAAGTCAAAGGAAATCTTCCCTGCAAGGGGAGCATTTTTTTGTGCTGCACGCAGCGAGCTCGTGTAAAGCGCTGATAAAAGCTACTGAATAATAAAGCGTTTAGCAGTTAGTAATAAGACATGATAAGTATACTAAGACTTCTCGATAAAACAGAAGAGTATACATATATGGTATGTTTATTCACTACGGTGAAAACTGAAAGAGGGTTCTCTTCGGTGGAAAATAAGTAAGAACGTCTGTAAAAGGAATCTAATCGAAGCTCTAAATTCCAATTTTTGATCGAACGCTACCCTAGAGGGATACTAAATAGTTTAATTATTATGGGACAAGATACAAAATTACTACTTGGTACTGTATTCAACAAATATTTTCAAAAAACGATACTGTGATAATTCACTAAAAAAACGTCTTGATTTAGTAAATAATCAATCAACGAATAATATACAGGATGTTAATGACAGTGCGCGTCCTGGAGGATCGATTTTAAAAGCTCGAATACGACAAGAGTCAAGAATAACAAAATTTCATTAATCCTAATATTTATTTTTTAAATAACATGTACAGTGTAAAATTTACTTTATTCCTGATTTTTGTTTTATTTTGGATTTTAAAATCGAAGTACGTCGCACACTTTTACCAGCATCCTATATACATATGTACGGAACTCCAATGACTAGGAATAAAATAAATAAATATTCCGAAAATTACGCAATCTTCTTGATAAGTTCGAGTTTCATTAATTATCGTACTTACAATTTTCAACCGAGGAAAACGCTCTCCGGTTTTGACCGTAGCTCATTGAAACACCCTGCGTATAGTTGCAATAAGTTTAAAGGGGCGCGTACTAACTACGTCAGTTAGTGTTGTTAGACGAACGGTCAAGTATTGCGATTCTTTGAAAGTTATTAGCTAAACTTATGGGCACAGAGAGAAAGAGAGAAAGAAAGGGCAATTTTGTGCATTCCTCTTTGTACTTTCCTTCCGAACAGAAAATTTTGTATCTTTACAGTTTCCAATCCATATTTTATAAGATGACTGTCTTTTTAGTCAGAATTTATATTTATTGTTAAATAAAAAAATAGCTCAATAATAAATTTTGATGTATAATTATGATTTGTACTTGTTAGATAAATAAGTAAACAAATTTTTTAGAATTCATTCTCAAATTAAGTATTAGTTTATACAATTTTCCGTGAGTAGGTTACACAGACAAGAATTAAACAAATTGCCTTGATATTGAAGCGACGAATTTTATTTTAATACTTGTTAATTGTTTCATGCATGTAATCTTAACCGGAAAAAAAGGTCAGGATTGCTTTAGGTGCTGCTTTTTGGCAACAGCATAAGGGAGTGCAACGAACGGAGGCCATTAATCTTTGCAACTCTGAACGTATTGAACAGAAAGAGATCGGAGCGTTTCCAGTTTCGCACAATCAAGAATCTATGACTCTAAATATGCGTTCTGCCTTAAGAAGCTTGTATGTATGTCGATCCGTACGAGAATATACCTTTCGAAGCGTCGGAACTCAAATAATAATTTCTCGAGCGATCCTTGTTAACGAGGTGTATAAAACGGGTTCGTGTGTTCAACAGGCGCGCTGTACGTAGATAAAAGTTTACTACTTACATGACGATTCGCCTAACAATCCTAACGTAACTAACAAAATACGATCTGTTGGTCCCTCTACACTTTAGCTTTATCTTGAGTTGCTTATTGTCAGAAGAGCTAGAAAGGGGAAAATAGTGAGAGAACTATAGGAAACGCATGAAAAAAGTCATGGTGAGAATTCGAGCTCTGTAGTTTCTTTGGTTACTCTCTTTTTTTTTTGGATACGTGCATCAGGAAATGTAGAACGCTTGTCGTACGTAAGGGGAGAACAAAAAAACAGAGAAAATTATTTGCCGTGTAAAATGCTGCGGAAAATGAACTTAACATTGATAGGTATGCGACCAAATCATGCGAGGTGTCAATCTCATTTCAATCAGAGCATGCAGCACACTGGATATTTTCGGTAGGATTTAATAAACGTACCAGAAAAATAAAGCTTGCATACGATTCCATTGTTACCTGTACCATGTATTACTTGCATATATACCAAACTAAGTTTTCATTGGATACCTAAAAATCTTCATTATATATTAAACATGTCTATATTCATTTTAAATATGTTTTAATTGCATGTACGAACACGCTTTGAATTATTTCAATTTCTCTGGGACTGTGCATACTTTAAAAATACATATGTCTGTTGCTATGTGTCTAGAATTGTGTGATTGAAGTGTATATTTCTTTTAAATAGTGAACCCACGTAAGCATAAAAGATACGTAACTATCAGCATAATATCGCTTTCAGATTAGAGGTAGTAACCGAATAAACGAAGAAAGAATCATAAATTATTACATAATGTTTCAAGGATGTATTAGCTGTACAGTCAATCCCAAAAGTTTATGTACCTTAGAAAAACGCATTTCCTATAATTAAAAAAAAATCAGACGTCGGAAGAATAATGCTAATAATAAANCAATGTTCTTCCGACGTCTGATTTCTTTTAAAAAAATGCATTTCTAAAGTGCTTAAACTTTTGGGATTGACTGTATAGCCAATACATCCTTAAAGAGTCATCTCTTAATTTTTTCTAATTTCGTTCAGTATCTTCAAATTGCCAATTGTGAAGTGTCGGTTTGACAATTTCAAGCTACGAAAGGTTTCCCAAAAAATTGACAAGTGACTCTTTAAAATAACGAGCTTCTTCTCCTTCATTTTTTCCAGTTGCGACCCTTTGAACCCTTCCAGACTCTACACAATAAAAATAAATAAAAATGAAAGGGTAAATCGTACCCAGCTTGCCTCGGGACATTGTTAGAGAGGGTGTAGATGGCACGTTGGAATGTTCGTGGCTCCAAGGCAATAATAATTGCTAGTATGAGGACCAATGTAGCGGCTGCTACGCTCATCCAACACGCGCAGCCCATTCTACCGGAAGTCTTCGTCCTGGGCGTTCCCTCAACCGTACTTCGTTGTGTGCCCGAGCAAATTGACTTTACCGAACTCTCTGTTTCTGTCACTTAAACATTACGTTTCCTCCTATGAATTTTTTTTCAATCCGATATGCGTCAATTTTTATTTTTGAAAATCTGACTTGATTCTGAGCCCCACGCCGTGATTAGTATGGGGAAACAGCGAAGGGCGAGGTATGCGAAGAAAATAAAGAATCTGTGATAGTTAGACTAATCCAAGTTCACTGTTTCTGGTATTATTAATTTAGAAAAAGATGAAATATATTCAATTGACTTTTTTAAAGAATTGATACAGATGATATTTTGAATAAGTCGATGGCCTGAAAGCTGAGAAATTATCCCTTTGGTTATTGACGAATCGTCCCTGGGATTAATTGGATGGAAATCCGCGGTTAAATTGACCCATGTGAAGCTCCGTTTTACAATTAGAGGATTGGAAGCCGAAACAAAGTTTCCATTGAACAATTTTTTTAATGAATTGTTACAAGTATTCAACACGCATGATATACGACATGGTCAATGGGTTATAGGATCACCCGGATTTATGATTTCTTTTGTTCTTGTCCACTTTTAGTACGCTATATGACTGTCGTTCATCAGGTGATTTTTTAATTGAAAATCCTGTGCAAATTGAATACCCTTAACCTACCCTCACTGTCGTTTCATAGTATTTATTTGCAATAAAACTGTCGTTGTTAGAGTATTGGAATCGTGTAAAAAGTATCGGACTGATCAAGTTTAAAAAGAAATATCATTTCTCTTATTTATTTAAAATTTAATTTTGTAATCTCACCATATTTGTAAGTACGAATTAACGTATAACATTTCTTTTTAAATTAATTCCATATTGCCTGTACGGTGTGTAAAATGAACATCAATGTGAAAAGTATGCTAGTCCCAGAAGCCTTTGACATTGCGACTTTGACTTTTGTCAACCAAAACCAATGATAAAGGTGGAGAAAAAGGGGGACGGCGGCAAAACTCTCTTTAAAATAAGCACACTCAATTCATCACCAACAACCCTCTGTGACGTAATTATTCGCCCACGATAAATCTGCGATATAAATAATAAAAGGAGACCAACACAAGTAAATATGCAGCTTACTCAAAACTGCGTCTGACAAGCTTTGTTTTTCCTTATGGGTAATTATGATTATTTCTCAGTATCCTCCCATTGTGCAAAGACATACCTTGTGCAGATACAACCCCGGTCATAAGTTATGCAAATCCATGCGTTACACCGTGTGCAAAAATATACAAATATTGTGCAGATTGTGATTAACATGGTGTTTCCGTTATTAGAATTATAAAATCAGACGGTCTGATTAATTTTCCTTTCAAATTATGCTACATACATTTCCACGTTTCAAGGCATTGTGACTATACATTTTTTAATTTAGCTACAAGAATTATGATGACCCAAAGGAAATTACAATACTTATTCATTCTCTAACGTATGAATCTACAGATACAGAATATCAAAGATCTACGTTAATTTACTTCGAACGGAAACAACAGTAAACAGGTGCAGTTGCATACAATCGAAGCGTGCGACGAGAAAAATAAGCGTACGGAGAATAAAGAAATTAAAGGAAATGAAAGAAATGAATCGCGCGTAAGTACATCTCGGATCATCTGAACAATGTCTCTCGGGATTTAAACTTTGGTTTTAGCGGGATATGTACATTGCTTACTTAGAAGGTTAGCTGTGAGTGCGGTACCTTGGTCGTCCTCCAACGGGGACAGCTCCGCACCTTCGTGCAGTGCTACATCAGACCCGCTGGAACTGCCCAGCGTACACCTCTTGCTCGGGGACCTCCTCCTCGATCGTGGCGAACCGTCACTATCGGTGTCGCTGTTCAAATCGTGACGCGAGCTACCGTTTTTCGTGTACACGTCGTTTCCGGAACCGGGCGACGTATCTTGGGAGACCGTCTGGCTCTCCCATTGCTCTGCCTTATCCTCGGGCACGCTGCCGTGGATCCACGGCTCCGACATCTCGCTCTTTGCCGCCTTCATCGACGCCTGTCCGACACCGATCGGCGGCGCGTCGCGACTCTTTACAACCGGTATAGGTATGTCCCCGTAATCACCAGTAGACATTGGTATTCGCGTGAACCGACTGGTTTGCGTCATGCCGGATTCCGTCATGAAAGAACGGACGGTTGTCATCGTCTTCACGACGGTCTCTTTCGATACGACCTCTCCTGTCACGGTTTTCTGAACTTTGGATATCATCGTGCGAGTCGTCTCGTCGCTTTTACTCGGTTTCTCCGTACCTTCCTTCGTTACTACAGTTTCGATTCTCGCTATGGTACCGCTCGATCTCTCAGGCTTCTCAGAATCGCGTACGTCTAATTTGCTTTCTACTTCGGGCTCTACCGAGTCACTCTTCTCCTTAATTTCTTCTTGCATTTCCTTTTGTGTTTCTTTGAGCATCTTTTCATCAGCGGGTTTTGAACGATCGGTGTCTACCGGCTGGTCGCTATCTAGCATTTCAGTTATACTAGGCTCGGTGCTCGTCAACATTTTGCTCATTTTTTCGTTCTGCATCGATTTCTTTAGCTTGATTGGTATCTTACTCTTTGGGCTGGTAGTCTTGTCCGGCGAGTGCTGTTCCTGAATCTGCTTGGACGAATCTTTGCTCTTTTGTTTGGGACTGTACGGGGTGCACGAGGTATCACCGAGGTCTAGATGAAAGTCTGTTTTGATGGACGACCTGGTAGTAGAGTGTCGCGGGGCGGGAACAGGTTGCTTTGATGGAGCAGAAGTAGCATGCCTCTCTACAGTCCCATCAATCTCAGCCGAATCATGCCCTGACCCATCCAAAAGGACATGGACAAGAACAGGAACAAGGACATAAAGCACATTGATACACACTAAGAATATTTCAACTCTAGCCCAGCTGCGACAGTTGGACCGAACGATGTCAGCGTGTCTGGTATATCACAAAACGTAACTTGCGTGTGTACAAATGCGTTCAACGATTTTGACCAAAGCTATGCTCGCGTTTGACGAACGTTCGACTCGACAGCAACGTCAGATTTGAGAAGAGATTTTTTTAATGCATCCGGTGCGTTTGAGTGGCTGGGCAAACCGATCATTCGCCAAATGGTACTTTCACGTGAAACACATGTTGCGATTCTCCAATAGGATGTGACTATGTTTGACAAGTGTTAGTTTGCGTTGGATAATTGTAACATGCGTTATTGTTAAAAAATGTCAGAATCGCTGAAACCGTTTGTACGCGTGTACGTGGATTGAAGAACAACTAACAAAAATAGAAATCCTGTGTAAAGAATATATTTGCGACTTCACGTTTGTTAATAATTTCAATTCCTTAGAGCAATATTATATGCAAACCTTTGGTTTTTTTTTCAATCAGATTCATTACTTCCTTTGTCAGGCCACGTACACACGAAACTCGTGTGCCCACACACGCATGCATATTAATTTGTGGTCATATGCCTGTGTGTGTGTGTGTGCAGCACACACCTACATTTAGTTTCATAATGTATCTTTCCTTTTTTTTTAGTTAGTATCAATACTGCAACAGGATTAGTTTGTTTAATAAAAAATACACTCATTAAATGGTGTCTAGTGGCGCCTGAATCTTACTAAAACGTACCCTGCAAACCATCTACGAGTTGCGAAACCAACTTACTGAGATAACTGAAATCAAAGAAAGGGGAGACTTTTCCTTCTTTCACGTCCGCCGGACGTTCAGTTTGAAAGCGTGAATCTTTGCAAGTCATTCATTGCTGCAGCTGGATATCTTGAAATCATCGTCGTCGACGATGATTTTAAGATAAACTAAAGGTTGTGTAGCAGTGAAGAGAATCGAAAAGTGACACCTTGCCTACCACAAACTATGTAAGTGGAAACTGAAACTTCTCTAAGCTACAATACGTCGTATTAAATAAAATGAAACGTTTCTTCGTTCGACTATACAGAAGATAGATCGAAGGCGTCCCAAGTTATCGAACATTATCGTACAGAGATTACATAATCATGGTGTGTTCCATTATGATAAACAATTGTATTCTACACGCCGTAAATACATAGGTATCTATTTAGTAAGAAACGTGCGCACGATTATATTAGTGTGAAAGCGTCGGCAGGTGCTAACTATGGAAGATAAAGCTAAATATAAATGAGGGCACCAAAAATATAGAATTTACTTAAAACTTATTGATCTTGGGCCTGCGATCTGTGTTCGTGACTTTTTTCTTTTCCCTTTTTTCTTTTTTCTTTAGACCATAGTTTTCTCACGATTATACGTTACCTGATTTGGCCATCGAGTGTGCTTGGTCGGCTAAAGTCTGCGCTCGTCTCGCTGCTTCTTCGGTAACGTCTGGAAAAATGATGGGAGTTTCACGTGAGTAAAACGGGGAATCAACGGGGCGAACATTGAAAGCAAATGATTCGACAAAGATTAGATGAATGATGGTTTTTCCCTGCATGGCATACCTCGGTTCATGCTTCGCTAGTTGTGGTATTCCTGTTAATTTAATGATATTCTTTTTATTACCGTATAATAAACAACAGTATGACGTCTATGTATGTGTTATGCTATAATAAAAAATAAATGAATAACGATAAATAAAAGGTTGTCGTCGTTCTTATTACGAGCAACGACTTCGACTACCGATGAGATAATTTATTTGTTCGTGTGAATAATATTGTATAAATGTTAAAAAGATAGTGATAACAAAACCTGGAAACATGCAATTAAAAAGAAATGTTAAATAAAGAAAAGGAAAGAAAGTTAAAACGCATAAAACTGAAAATAAGAACAGCAAATAAGTAGAAATAATATAGACACGTTGTTCGTGTACACTCGTCGTGTTTGCTACGGTTGATCACGTACTTTTTTCTTTTAACCAAGATTCTCGTACTATAAAGTTCGTCAAAACATGAGGCTAGTATCAGACCATTTTGATAAGTAGAGATGTCAATTGCCCATTAGACTTGTTAGAAATTAATAGTAAGTTGTTAGAGATCATTTTTCTTTTATGGTAAATGTAATATTACACTTTATAGTACGTCCGCTACATTATAAAACGGTAATTAGTCGGTAACGGTAATTGACGAACTGTCGAAGGGTGTTAGAGGTTCGTTACGAAATGACACAGAAGTGCGAATGGCCCATCTGGCGTGGCCATTTGTTGGTATCAGCTACCAGAAAAAACATAAGTTACAGAAAAGCGTCAACTTAATTATTAATCATGTTACACACAGCTGGTATGTAATATATGTATATATATATATATATAGAACGCAAATTATTGCAAGATACCTTCTTCGATTCTACTGTCAGTGTACTCGGCGGGACTGGGTGGTGGGGTCGTCGCCGTCCGCACAGACTTTTTTGTTACGACTGTGGTGACGGTCTGTCGTATGCGAGGTTCGAGGTGCTCTACTTCTTTAACAACGTTAACTACCCTAACTGTACTAGTACTATCGTCCGACGAGCAGCTGCTAGGGCTACTTCTTCGCTCGAAGGAGGAACTAACTTTTTGTGGAATGCGAGATACTTTCGACGATTTCGATTCATCCGACCTGGTCGGCGACGCGGAATCCGTAAAAGAAATTAACGGCTCGTAAGTCTCGGTAAACGAAGTCTTGACCGTTTTCGTCGTCGACATTACATCTTTTGTGACCTGTGGACTTGATATCGATATTCCCTTAGATTCAGGTTTACTCTTTTCGCGAACGAACATGGAACTATCAACATTCTCGTATGTGTGTTCGTCGGGTTGTTCTTGATACGCTTTGTCCCACCTAGCATCGCGTCTCATTTCATCCAAGAATGCAGTCATAGCACTCCGCGAGTCGCTGCTGACTATTGGACTCTGCAATTTGTCTCCGGGAGACTTTCCACTATCTACAACTTTGTGTGTGACAGTGACTACTCCCTGAGGGACGCTTCCGATGAATTCTTTTGTCTGTTTCATACTGTCAGACACCTTCTGGTCAACAGCTTTGCCGGTGCCTGATATTCTCTGAACACCTTCAGTTACTTTCTCCGTGACTTTGTGTTCTGTATCTTTCATAGTAGTTGCAATTTTATCCTTGGCATCGGAAGCATCAGCAACCGCCTTGTCTTTCGCTGATTTCAAAGCCATAGCCGTGTCTTTCGCAGCAGAATCTAGTTTTTTCTCAACTTGCGTCACTCCCCCGCTCACTTTATCCTTAACACCTTTAACATCGCTCTTAACTTTATCCTTGGCTTTTTTTGCATCTGCTGCAACTTCATCCGCAGCAACGTCGACGTCTTTTAATTTTTCAGAAACCGCTTCGCGAACACGAGCTTCTTCTTCGACAGCTTCCTTCTTCGTCTCGTCGACGAATTCTTTAACGTCTTCAGAAACTTCTTCAGCTGCGTGCTTCGCACTCTTAATCAAACCTGAGAGGAAGCCGCCGCCTTTCTCCTTCGCTTTTTTACCTTCCTTCGCAACTTTGTCCTTCACCGATTTCGTACCATCAACTATTTTCTGTTTCGCAGCGGCAGCGTCTTCCTCAACTTCCGTGGCCACTTTATCTTTTGCTGATTTTGCACCATCAGCCACGTCTTTAGCAGCGGTTTCCACTTTCGCTTCCGTTTTCTTCGCACCTTCCGCAATTTTAGTGCCGACAGTTTTGCCTGCATCCGATATCGCATGAGCAGTTCCAGATAACTTTTCAGTGATCTTGTCTTTCGTATCCTTCGCCGCGGTTGCAACTTTCCCACCAACATCCTTAGTGTCTTTCGCTACTTTCATCTTGGTTGCTTTAGCGTCTTTAACAACTTCCTTAACAGCAGCCTCGGTTTTCGCCTCTGCAGTTTTCGCGCCGTTAACAACATTCTCACCAACGGATTTGCCAGCGTCTGACACTGATTGCACAGTGCTAGTTATCTTCCCACTGATTTTATCCTTGGCATCCTTCATACCAGCTGCAGTCCTGTCTTTAGCGGCTTCGACGTCGTCAATAGCTTTCTGTTTTGTAGCGTCGATTTCTTTCGCTTTTTCAGAGATCGCTTCGCGAGCACGTGCCTGTTCTTCAGCAGCTTCTTTCTTAGTTTCGTCAAGGAATTCCTTTACATCATCAGAAACGTCGTCCGCTGTGTGCTTGACACCTTTGATCAGTCCTGACAGGAAACCTCCGGTCTTCTCTTTTGCTTTTTTGGTTTCCTTAGCAGCCTTGTCTTTAGCCGCTGCAGCACCGTCGGCGACTGCGTGGATTCCAGAAGAAACTGTATCCTTCACAACGTCAGCGTCATGTTTCAAATCTTCCGAGATTTTATCCTTCGCCGATTTCGCCCCATCTGCGACATCTTTCGCAACACTTTCTACTTTTGCACTTGTACCTTTTACTCCTTCCGTAATTTTAGTGCTTATAGCTTTCTCGGTATCTGATATCTTCTGCACACTATCGGAAATTTTTTCACTGACAGCTTCCTTGGCATCTTTGGTACCAGATGTGACAGAATCTTTAACACCCTTCACATCCGCGACCACTTTATCCTTCGCGGCTTTGGCTCCTTCCGCTAAATCTCGTGCAGCTGATTCGGTTTTAGCTTCGACACCTTTCACACCGTCGACGACTTTATCGCTGACAATATTACCTGCGTCAGAGACCTTTTGCGTTACCTGCGATACTTTATCGGTAACTGAGTCTTTAACATCCTTCGCGGTGGCTTTTACTTTATCTGTCTTGTCCTTTATATCTGCGGATGCTTTATCCTTCGCCGCTTCAATGTCCTTCGCTTTTTCTGAGAGAGATTCCCGTATACGAGATTCTTCTTCAGCAGCTTCCTTTTTCGTTTCGTCAACAAAATCTTTAACATCTTCAGATACTTCGTCCGCCGCGTGTTTCGCGCTTTTCAATAATCCAGAAAAGAAACCTCCGGTCTTCTCTTTAGCCTTCTTAGCTTCCTTCGCTGCCTTGTCCTTCGCTGCAGCCGCGCTATCTGTTACTGTGTCAATACCAGACTCCACTTTGTGTTTTACTGCTTCAGCGTCTTCTTTAATTTCTTTAGCCACTTTATCCTTCGCTGATTTAGCGGTGTCAGCTATATCGTGCGCAACTTCCTTAGTTTTCGTTTCGGCACCCTTAACACCTTCGGCAACTTTGTCAGTAACTGCTTTTCCGGTGTCGCTCACTTTTTGCGCACCCTCAACGACTTTCTCACTGATCTTATCCTTGGTATCTTTAGCAGCTGTCACAACGGAATCTTTCGCATCTTTTGCTTTCTCGGCTGCTTTGTCTTTCGCTGTCTTTACACTATCGGCCACGTCGTGAGCAGCAGCGTCTGCCTTTTCCTCAATTTTCTTCGCACCATCGGCTACTTTCTCACCAACAGTTTTCCCAGCATCCGATACCTTCTGTGCGGCTTCAGACACTTTTCCACTAACCGCATCTTTAGTATCCTTCACTGCAGTTGTTACTTTGTCCTTCGCGTCCTTTGCTTCTGCGACTGCTTTGTCCTTCGCTGCTTCGACATCCTTCAATTTCGCTGCTGCAGCCTCGCGAGCTCGAGCTTCTTCCTCCGCTGCTTCCCTCTTGGTCTCGTCCAGGAAGTCTTTAACCTCGTCAGAAACATCATCAGCGGCATGCTTGGCTCCCTTGAACAGTCCAGTCAAGAAACCACCGGTCTTCTCCTTTGCTTTTTTAGCTTCTTTCTCGGCTTTATCCTTCGCCGCAGCTGCGCTATCCGCCACAGTTGCAGCTCCGGCTGAAACTTTTTGTTTTACAGCCTCAGCATCGTCCTTAATTTCCTTAGCTGCCTTATCTTTTGCGGACTTTACGCTGTCAGCTACTTCACGAGCTGTTGCTTCTGTTTTGTCTTTAGCTTTCTCTGCGGTATCTGCTACTTTCTCGCCAACTGCTTTGCCAGTATCAGATACTTTCTGCGCGCCTTCAGATACTTTCTCGCTGATCTTATCTTTGGTGTCTTTTACGGCAGATACAGTTTTGTCTTTAACATCTTTTACATCCATTGCAGCTTTGTCTTTTGCTGCCTTCGCGCTATCAGCTATTTGTTCAGCAGTAGCATCGATGGTCTTGCCGACTTCTGTAATTCCTTCTGCTACCTTTCCAGTCGCAGCTTTACCAGCATCTTGTACTTTTTCAACGGTATCAGATGCTTTGCCAACGACTGCGTCTTTAGCATCTTTCGCTTTCTCGACTGTTTTGTCTTTCGCTGCCTTTACGCTGTCGGCCATACCATGAGCAGCAGCGTCTGCCCTTTCTTCAATTTTCTTCGCCCCATCGGCAACTTTCTCACCAACAGCTTTTCCAGCATCCGATACCTTTTGCACAGCACCAGATACTTTGTCGCTGACTTTATCTTTAGCGTCTACGACAACACCTACAACTTTGTCCTTTGAATCCTTAACGTCTGCTGCAGCTCTTTCTTTCGCTGCTTCGACATCCTTCAATTTTCCTGCCACAGCTTCACGAGCACGAGCTTCCTCTTCAACTGCTTCCTTTTTAGTGTCGTCAACAAACTCTTTAACATCCTCGGAAACTTCTTCAGCAGCGTGTTTTGCGCTCTTGAACAGTCCCGAAAGGAAACCACCCGTCTTTTCCTTCGCCTTCTTGGCTTCTTTCGCAGCCTTGTCTTTCGCCGCTGCTGCACTATCCGCAGCTGTGTCCATACCTGAAGAAACTTTCTGTTTCACCGTGTAAGCGTCTTCTTTAACTTCCTTCGCTACTTTATCTTTCACTGCTTTCGCACCGTCTGCCACTTCTTTTACAGTCGCTTCAGTTTTCGCTTCCGCTATCTTGACACCATCCGCCACTTTCTCTCCTACGTCCTTCGCAGCCTCTGATAATTTTTCTTTACCACCGGCTACTTTATCGGTGACAGTATCCATCGTGTCTTTGGCAGCCGTCGTTACTTTCCCTCCAGCGTCTTTGATTTTAGCAGACGCTTTGTCCTTTGCTGCTTTCGCATCGTCAGCCAGTTCTTGAATTTTGGTATCTGTTTTCTCAGTTGCATGCTTTACTTCCTCGGTTACTTTCTCACCAGCGGCTTTTCCAGCGTCTGATACTTTTTGCGTAACATCCGAGACTTTGGCTGTGACTTTACTTGCAGCGTCTTTTACCGTATCCTTCGTATCTTTCACACCAGTAGCCGCCTTGTCTTTTGCATCTTCAACCGCATCTTGCAAACGAGCTTTCTCATCTGAAGCTTCTTTCTTAGTTTCCTCAAGGAAGTCCTTGACATCGTCTGTTACTTCCTCCGCAGCGTGTTTCGCGCCTTTGAATAAACCGGAAAGGAATCCACCGGTCTTCTCTTTGGCTTTCTTAGCTTCCTTCGCAGCCTTGTCCTTAGTTGCAGTTGCACTGTCTGCTACTGTATCTATTCCAGATGCGATCTTATGTTTTACTGCTTCAGTATCTTCTTTGATTTCTTTAGCTACTTTATCCTTCGCTGCTTTAGCTGTATCGGCCACGCCGTGCGCAACTTCCTTGGTTTTCGCTTCAGCGCCTTTCACACCTTCAGCTACCTTATCCTTCGCTGCTTTAGCTGTATCGGCCACGTCGTGCGCAACTTCCTTGGTTTTCGCTTCAGCACCTCTCACACCTTCAGCTACTTTATCCTTCGCTGCTTTAGCTGTATCGGCTACGCCATGCGCAACTTCCTCGGTCTTCGCTTCAGCACTTCTCACACCTTCAGCTACTTTATCCTTTGCTGCTTTAGCTGTATCGGCCACGACTCTTGAACAGTCCCGAAAGGAAACCACCCGTCTTTTCCTTCGCCTTCTTGGCTTCTTTCGCAGCCTTGTCTTTCGCCGCTGCTGCACTATCCGCAGCTGTGTCCATACCTGAAGAAACTTTCTGTTTCACCGTGTAAGCGTCTTCTTTAACTTCCTTCGCTACTTTATCTTTCACTGCTTTCGCACCGTCTGCCACTTCTTTTACAGTCGCTTCAGTTTTCGCTTCCGCTATCTTGACACCATCCGCCACTTTCTCTCCTACGTCCTTCGCAGCCTCTGATAATTTTTCTTTACCACCGGCTACTTTATCGGTGACAGTATCCATCGTGTCTTTGGCAGCCGTCGTTACTTTCCCTCCAGCGTCTTTGATTTTAGCAGACGCTTTGTCCTTTGCTGCTTTCGCATCGTCAGCCAGTTCTTGAATTTTGGTATCTGTTTTCTCAGTTGCATGCTTTACTTCCTCGGTTACTTTCTCACCAGCGGCTTTTCCAGCGTCTGATACTTTTTGCGTAACATCCGAGACTTTGGCTGTGACTTTACTTGCAGCGTCTTTTACCGTATCCTTCGTATCTTTCACACCAGTAGCCGCCTTGTCTTTTGCATCTTCAACCGCATCTTGCAAACGAGCTTTCTCATCTGAAGCTTCTTTCTTAGTTTCCTCAAGGAAGTCCTTGACATCGTCTGTTACTTCCTCCGCAGCGTGTTTCGCGCCTTTGAATAAACCGGAAAGGAATCCACCGGTCTTCTCTTTGGCTTTCTTAGCTTCCTTCGCAGCCTTGTCCTTAGTTGCAGTTGCACTGTCTGCTACTGTATCTATTCCAGATGCGATCTTATGTTTTACTGCTTCAGTATCTTCTTTGATTTCTTTAGCTACTTTATCCTTCGCTGCTTTAGCTGTATCGGCCACGCCGTGCGCAACTTCCTTGGTTTTCGCTTCAGCGCCTTTCACACCTTCAGCTACCTTATCCTTCGCTGCTTTAGCTGTATCGGCCACGTCGTGCGCAACTTCCTTGGTTTTCGCTTCAGCACCTCTCACACCTTCAGCTACTTTATCCTTCGCTGCTTTAGCTGTATCGGCTACGCCATGCGCAACTTCCTCGGTCTTCGCTTCAGCACTTCTCACACCTTCAGCTACTTTATCCTTTGCTGCTTTAGCTGTATCGGCCACGTCGTGCGCAACTTCCTTGGTCTTTGCCTCAGCTTCTTTCACACCTTCAGCTACTTTATCGCCAACTGCTTTCCCAGTGTCGCTAATTTTCTGCGCACCTTCGGACACTTTCTCACCAATCTTGTCCTTCGTATCTACTGCAGCGGTTACGACTGTGTCTTTAGCATCCTTCGCATCCGCAACCAAGGTATCCTTCGTTGTTTTGACACCATGGGCAACTTTCTCGACAGCAGCTTTTGTTTTGTCTTCTGCTTGTTTGACACCGTCCTTTACTTTATCACCGACAGCTTTCCCAGTATCAGTTACCGTTTTAATACCATCAGATACTTTCTCGCTAACTTTGTCTTTACTATCTTTTACAGCCGTTGTGACTTTATCCTTTGCATCTTTTAAATCCGTAGCTGCCTTGTCTTTTGCCTTGTCAATATCTTTCGTGGCTTTGTCCACTGCCTCGCGGGCTCGTGCTTCCTCCTCAGTAGCTTCCTTCTTCGTTTCGTCTACGAATTCTTTCACCTCTTCTGAGACCTCTTCGGCTGCGTGTTTCGCGCCTTTGAACAGGCCCGAGAGGAATCCACCAGTTTTTTCTTTAACCTTTTTAGCTTCCTTCGCAGCTTTATCTTTCGTTGCCTCCGTTCCATCAACAACTGCATCAACGCCTGAAGAAATCTTCTGCTTCACCGCAGCTGCGTCTTCTTTGACTTCTTTCTTGACTGTGTCTTTCGCTGCCTTCGCACCTTCGCTTACATCGCGAGCCAATTCCTTTGCTTTATCGTCAACCGCTTTCGCACCGCTGACAATTTTCTCTTCTACTTTTTTACCAGTGTCCGTTACTTTCTGTGCTCCCTCGGCAGTTTTCTCGCTGATCTTATCCTTGGTATCCTTTATAGCTTCGGCAGTTTTGTCCTTCGCATCTTTTACAGCCGCTGCAGTTCTATCCTTCGCATCCTTCACGTCCTCAACCACTTTATCTTTCGCTGCTTTCGCCCCATCAGTCACTTCTTTAGTTGTCGCTTCCACTTTTTCTCCAGTCTGTTTTACACCATCAGCTACCTTCTCGCCAACAGTTTTGCCAGCGTCGGATACCTTCTGCAGACCGTCAGTGATCTTCGTCTCCACTTTGTCTTTTGTGTGTTTCACAGAAGTTACGACTTTATCTTTCGTCTCCTTTACGTCAGCGACCGCCTTGTCCTTTGCTTCCAGCGCGCGAGCTTTCTCTTCGGAAGCTTCCTTCCTCGTTTCGTCCAGAAAATCTTTAACGTCGTCGGAGACCTCATCAGCTGCGTGTTTCGCTCCTTTGAATAATCCAGACAGGAAGCCTCCGGTCTTCTCTTTAGCTTTTTTAGCTTCTTTCGCGGTTTTGTCCTTTGCTGCAGACGCGCTATCCGCAACGGTGTTTATGCCTGATGATACTTTCTGTTTAGCGCTCTCGGCATTTTCTTCAATCTCTTTCACCAGTTTATCCTTCGTCGTTTTCACGCCAGTTGCTACTTCGTGTGCAGCTTCACCAGCTTTCTCCTCAGCTTTCTTTACGCCATCCGCTAATTTTTCTCCTGCAACGGTGCCTGCATCCGACACCTTCTTTGCGCCTTCGGCTACTTTCTCGGTGACTTTGTCTTTCGTCTCTTTCGCAGCAGTTGCGACTTTATCCTTGGTATCAGAGACATCAGTAACTACCTTGTCTTTCGTTGATTTCAAAGCCTCGGCTGTGCCTTTTGCAGCGGAATCTATTTTTTTATCTACTTGCTTAATTCCATCTGTGACTTTCTCGCTGATTTTATCCTTCGTGTCTTTTACAGCCCCCACAGTTTTGTCTTTTGCATCTTTTACACCAGCCACTGCTTTATCTTTTACTGCGTCAACATCTTTTAACGTCTCAGCCACTGCTTCACGAGCACGAGCTTCCTCTATAGCTGCATCCCTTTTGGTGTCATCGACGAACTCTTTAACATCATCGGAAACCTCTTCAGCAGCGTGTTTTGCGCTCTTGAAAAGTCCCGAGAGGAAACCACCGGTTTTTTCCTTCGCCTTTTTAGCTTCCTTCGCAGCTTTATCTTTTGCTGCTGTTGCACTATCTGCTGCTGCGTCTATACCTGAAGAAACCTTCTGCTTCACCGCGTCAGTGTCTTCTTTAACTTCTTTCACTACTTTGTCTTTCACTGCCTTTACACCATCTGCCACCCCTTGTGCAGTTGCTTCAACTTTAGCTTCAGCATCTTTCGCTCCTTCAACCACTTTATCACCGACTGCTTTACCAGCATCGGCTACCTTTTGTGCACCTTCGCCCACTTTTTCGCTGACCTTATCCTTCGTGTCTTTCGCGGCAGTTGTGACTTTATCAGCAGCATCTTTTAGATCTGCCACCGTTTTATCTTTCGCTGCCTTTGTATCCTCGACTGCTCCTTTTACAGCGGCTTCTGTTTTCTCTCCAACATGTTTCGCCCCGTCAGCAATCTTCTCGCCAACAGCTTTGCCAGTATCAGACACCTTCTGTGTAGCATCGGACACTCCGGTGGAGATAGTGTCCTTGGTGTCCTTGACAGCAGTCACAACCTTAGACTTTGTATCTTTGGCCGCCAGAACAGCTTCATCCTTTGCAGCTTGGATGTCCATTAACTTCTGTTCAGCAGCATCACGTAGACGGTCTTTCTCCACAGACGATTCCCTTTTTGCTTCGTCAAGGAAGTCACTAAGGTCAGCCGACGCTTCATCGGCACTGTGTTTAGCGCCTTTGAATAATCCTGATAGAAAACCACCGGTCTTCTCTTTAGCTTTTTTAGCTTCCTTCGCCGCTTTGTCCTTCGCTGAAGCCGCGCCATCGACAACTGCAGCTGCACCCGAGGAAACTTTTTGTTTTACTGCCTCAGCGTCCTCTTTAATTTCCTTGGCTGCTTTATCCTTTGCAGTCTTTGCACTGTCAGTTATTTCACGAGCAGCTGCTTCTGTTTTGTCTTTAGCTTTCTCCGCGGTGTCTGCGACTTTTTCACCAACCGCTTTCCCAGTGTCGGATACTTTCTGCGCGCCTTCAGATACTTTCTCGCTGATTTTGTCTTTGGTGTCTTTTACGGCAGATACAGTTTTATCTTTAACGCCTTTTAAATCTGCAGCTGCTTTATCCTTTGCTGCCTTTGTATCCTCGACTGCTCCTTTTACAGCGGCTTCTGTTTTCTCTCCAACATGTTTTGCCCCGTCAGCAATCTTCTCGCCAACAGCTTTGCCAGTATCAGACACCTTCTGTGTAGCATCGGACACTCCGGTGGAGATAGTGTCCTTGGTGTCCTTGACAGCAGTCGCAACCTTAGACTTTGTATCTTTGGCCGCCAGAACAGCTTCATCCTTTGCAGCTTGGATGTCCATTAACTTCTGTTCAGCAGCATCACGTAGACGGTCTTTCTCCACAGACGATTCCCTTTTTGCTTCGTCAAGGAAGTCACTAAGGTCAGCCGACGCTTCATCGGCACTGTGTTTAGCGCCTTTGAATAATCCTGATAGAAAACCACCGGTCTTCTCTTTAGCTTTTTTAGCTTCCTTCGCCGCTTTGTCCTTCGCTGAAGCCGCGCCATCGACAACTGCAGCTGCACCCGAGGAAACTTTTTGTTTTACTGCCTCAGCGTCCTCTTTAATTTCCTTGGCTGCTTTATCCTTTGCAGTCTTTGCACTGTCAGTTATTTCACGAGCAGCTGCTTCTGTTTTGTCTTTAGCTTTCTCCGCGGTGTCTGCGACTTTTTCACCAACCGCTTTCCCAGTGTCGGATACTTTCTGCGCGCCTTCAGATATTTTCTCGCTGATTTTGTCTTTAGTGTCTTTTACGGCAGATACAGTTTTATCTTTAACGTCTTTTAGATCTCCTGCAGCTTTATCTTGCGCTGCCTTCGCGCTATCGGTTATATGTTGGACAGTGGCATCAACGCCTTTACCAATTTCTTTAGCTTCTTGAGTAATCTTTTCGGATGTAGCTTTACCAGCATCTTGTACTTTATCAATAGTATCAGACGCCTTTTCCACGATTTTATCCTTTGTATCTTTTACAGCACCGACAGTTTTGTCCTTGGCATCTTTCATGTCAGCAGCTGCTTTATCCTTTGCTGCATCAATATCTTTCAGCTTCCTTGCTACAGCCTCACGCGCTTTAGCTTCTTCTTCAGCAGCGTCCTTCTTCGTTTCGTCAACAAATTCTTTAACATCTTCAGAAACTTCGTCCGCTGCGTGTTTTGCACTTTTGAATAATCCTGACAGAAAACCCCCGGTCTTCTCTTTAGCCTTCTTAGCTTCCTTCGCTGCCTTGTCCTTCGCTGCAGCCGCGCTATCTGTTACTGTGTCAATACCAGACTCCACTTTGTGTTTTACTGCTTCAGCGTCTTCTTTAATTTCTTTAGCCACTTTATCCTTCGCTGATTTAGCGGTGTCAGCTATATCGTGCGCAACTTCCTTAGTTTTCGTTTCGGCACCCTTAACACCTTCGGCAACTTTGTCAGTAACTGCTTTTCCGGTGTCGCTCACTTTTTGCGCACCCTCAACGACTTTCTCACTGATCTTATCCTTGGTATCTTTAGCAGCTGTCACAACGGAATCTTTCGCATCTTTTGCTTTCTCGGCTGCTTTGTCTTTCGCTGTCTTTACACTATCGGCCACGTCGTGAGCAGCAGCGTCTGCCTTTTCCTCAATTTTCTTCGCACCATCGGCTACTTTCTCACCAACAGTTTTCCCAGCATCCGATACCTTCTGTGCGGCTTCAGACACTTTTCCGCTAACCGCATCTTTGGTATCCTTCACTGCAGTTGTTACTTTGTCCTTCGCGTCCTTTGCTTCTGCGACTGCTTTGTCCTTCGCTGCTTCGACATCCTTCAATTTCGCTGCTGCAGCCTCGCGAGCTCGAGCTTCTTCCTCCGCTGCTTCCTTCTTGGTCTCGTCCAGGAAGTCTTTAACTTCGTCAGAAACATCATCAGCGGCATGCTTGGCTCCCTTGAACAGTCCAGTCAAGAAACCACCGGTCTTCTCCTTTGCTTTTTTAGCTTCTTTCTCGGCTTTATCCTTCGCCGCAGCTGCGCTATCCGCCACAGTTGCAGCTCCGGCTGAAACTTTTTGTTTTACAGCCTCAGCATCGTCCTTAATTTCCTTAGCTGCCTTATCTTTTGCGGACTTTACGCTGTCAGCTACTTCACGAGCTGTTGCTTCTGTTTTGTCCTTAGCTTTCTCTGCGGTATCTAGCACTTTCTCGCCAACTGCTTTGCCAGTATCGGATACTTTCTGTATATTTTCGGACGTTTTCTCGCTGATCTTATCTTTAGTATCCTTCGCCGCGGCCACTACTTTATCCTTGGCATCTTTTGCTTCTGCGACTGCCTTATCTTTCGCTGCTTCGACGTCCTTCAATTTCGCTGCTGCAGTTTCACGAGCTCGTGTTTCCTCTTCAGCTGCTTCCTTTTTGGTGTCATCGACGAACTCTTTAACATCATCGGAAACTTCTTCAGCAGCGTGTTTTGCGCTCTTGAAGAGTCCCGAAAGGAAACCACCCGTCTTTTCCTTCGCCTTCTTGGCTTCCTTCGCAGCTTTATCTTTCGCTGCTGCTGTACCATCTACCACGGTATCTACTCCAGACGATATTTTTTGTTTCGCTGCCTCAGTGTCTTCCTTAATCTCTTTAGCAACCTTATCCTTTGCTGTTTTCGCACTGTCAGCTACTTCTTGTGCAGTTTCTTTAGTTTTCGCTTCAGCAACCTTCACACCTTCAACCACTTTCTCGGTAACTGCTTTACCAGTGTCCGCTACCTTTTGGGCACCTTCACTCACTTTTTCTTTAACTTTGTCCTTCGTATCTTTTGCGGCGGTCACGACAGTATCTTTAGCATCCGTTGCTTTGACAACTGTTTTGTCTTTAGCTGCTTTTGCACTATCAACTACGTCGTGAGCTGCAGAATCTACTTTCTCTTCAAGTCGTTTGGCTCCATCGACAACTTTCTCACCGACAGCTTTGCCAGTATCTGATATTTTCTGCCCAGCTTCAGACACCTTTCCACTGACAGTGTCTTTTGTATCCTTCACCGTCGCAGCTATTTTATCCTTCGCATCTTTCGCTTCCGCAACGACTTTGTCCTTGCCTTCGGTGACTTCCTTCTTTGTTTCATCGGCAATTTCTTTTACCTCTTCGGATGCTTCGTCCGCCGCATGTTTTGCACTCTTGAATAGTCCAGATAAGAAGCCGCCAGTCTTCTCTTTAGCTTTCTTAGCTTCTTTCGCTGCTTTATCCTTCGCAGCTTCTAAGTTGTCTTCAACTTCGTCTATTTTCATCTTAGCGGCATCGGTATCCTTGATTTCAGTCGTCGCTTTGTCCGCTTGTTTCGCGGTGTCTTCCAATGTCGCACTCGCAAGATTTCTGGTATCTTCCAAGAATTTCACGGTGGCCTCGCGTATCGAACTATCCGGACTTATTACCGACTCCTGTGTTGGTACACTCTTCTCCCGAGATCTGCTTCGCGATTCCCTGGACAATTTCGGACTACGGAATTTGCTAAAGATCCCAATGCCCTTGTCTTTATCCACAGGTTCTTCAGAAACTGTCTCCGGCACAGTTTTCTCAACAATCTGTTTTGGTGCTTCCTCATGATGCAAAGTGTCTGCCACTTTCTTCGTGTCTTGCAAGAAATCCGCTGTCAAGTGTCGCGTCTCCTCGTCCCCGCTGTCGAATGAGGTTTCTTTCGAGGAACTCTTCTCCCGAGACGAACTCCTCTTCTTGGTTTTCAATTTCGGACTCTTAAACATGCTGAAGAATCCACCTTTTTCTTTACTCTCCTCGTCTTCCTTCTCACTCTCCGCTCGTTTGTCCGGCGAATCCGCCCGTCTTTCAAGACTCCGTTCTTTCTGTTTTTTAGCGTCAGACTTTCCGTTGGCTTCTTTGTGAGGACTACTCTTGTCCGTCTCAGATTTCTTCTGGATTTCCGTGATGTCGTACGAATGTCCGTTTATTTTATCTTTCGGTATATCTTCTTCGTAACGAACGTGAGATGTGAAAGTATGTATCTCTTGTTTGCCTTCGATCTTAGGAGCAGAAGGGACAAGCGTAGTCTCGGCAACTTTTCGAGTATCGTCCAACAATTTTTCTGTGGCGATTCGGAGTTCCTCGTCGCCGCTGTCGAACGATGCCTCTTTGCCCTTTTTCATCTTCTTCTCTTTCGATTTGGGGCTTTTAAATATGCCGAAGAAACCACTGCCCTTCTCTTTCTCCTGGTCACTCGCATCGCTTCCCATTGTCGCAGTGCGGTCATCTGGTTCTTTACTTATCGTTTTAGATTCCTCGACTCGCGTCGTGGTCACTGTGCCATCAGGTACGTGTACAGTCGAGGCGATGCGTCTCGAGTCATCCAGAAATTGCATCGTGGCTAATTTAATGTCGTCCGCCGGTTTTGAATCCGGTTGCGAATCGAATGTAATATGAACTGTCTGCGTCCTGTGTTCTACAGGCGCAGCTACCTTTGCTTCCTCGTCGCCACTATCGACAGACATATCCTTCGAACCCTTCGACTTACTCTTCTTCAGCTTAGATCCCTTGAAGATACCCGAAAGTATTCCGCTTTTGTCCTTCGACTTTTTCGATTCATCTTCCTGTTTCTCATCCTCGGATGGATACTGTACACTGTAAACGCTTTCGTAAGCGGATAGTTGCTTGTCGGTTGGTTTCGTTTCTTTCGTCTTAGCCTCTTTCTGAGGTGAAACGTCTTGCTTCCCGATTTCTTTCTTAGCCTTCGCGCTGGTGGGACTCGTTAGCTTTTCATCGACGTCCTTACCTTCTTTAGATAACATTTCCTTCTTACTTACTATACTCTCTTTACCGTTCGAAATTGTTATCGTTTGCGGTGGTACCGTCGAGTCTACTTCTTTCACGGTGATCGTCTGAGTGATCACCGGTTGCGCTTTATCATCGGTCATCGAAACTATCGTTTTTGACGCGACAATCGTTACGTTCGAGTCACCCTTCCCGTCGCGAACAAAACGCTGCTTGACTATCGTCGGCTCGACTACCGGCTCTCGATCGCTAACTACCGTATCGGACTTAACGCCCTTGTCTTTAGGCAATTTGTCGGTCAACTGTTCCCTAGCAAAAGTTTGAACTACAACACCTCTCGCCTCTCTATTGTCCCGCGCATCATCATCATCATCATAAACCACCGACCACCCCTCCTTTGCTAACTTCCCCTTCTCTTTCTCTGCGTCTGCTATTACACCTGTTAATTAAGTATCACATATTTTAGGCATCTGTAAACGTTGCTAAACAGAGAGAACACATTTTTTTTGTTTGTTTGTTTTAAGTTCATTTTATTGTTTTTTTGGTCGCATCATTAGTGTAAGCCGGCTCGCTTGATTTATTGCACTTTTTTTTACCGAATAACAGCAGTTAGACTCTCGTGTGGTTTGTGCGTGGTGTGTTCGTGAGCTGTGGAGCAGCTATCCATTTACATTTCCACGTTTCAAAATATGTCTGTGTGAATAACTAACTAGTGATAAAAAAATGTAATACTTTGTACTATATCGCTATTTATTTGATTAATCGAATCGAAAAGTTTATTCAAAATACGTGTCGGAAAAATTCTAATGAAAAAATGACAGCTGCTCCGTGCGTCCGCACAGTTAGGCCACACATAAATTGACCACTCATGCAACGCCAAAAAATTGCAGCAAAAAACCTTTGGCTGAAACAAATTAATGGAACTGGTGTCGAAGAAAATAGTAAGGCGATTAGTGGATCGTATTAAAATGATAAGACATTGATAAGTACGCATTATAATACAGTCTATAGATGTGAGATGTAAATTCGAGAGGCAAATAAATACAGCTTATTAAGAGTAATTTAAAAAAAAAATGATATAAAAGCAAGCTGATAAAAATTCGAAGGAATTCCGCATCAGCCCTCCAGAACCTGTGAGTGAAAGTAAACAAGATGATAAAGTAAAAAAAAGAGAAGAGAGAGAAAGAGAGAAAAAGAGATAAATACGTTCTAGTGCTGAACAATATTCCGTAGAGCTAACAAAGTTTCACACTCGTGAATCGTGTCCAGATTCTGTGCCGTGCTACGTTTCCAAAAGATCACCTAAGTAATCTCTAATATCAAAGATTTCTTAAGAACATTATCATAATTAATAATAAGGTTTAATAAAATGAAATAGCAAAACAATTTACTTGATAATAATTCTCTTGGTAAAGCGGTACTACATAACATAATTTTCAAAGCAATATCGAATATTGTAGTGAGAACAATAAGTATAAAAAAATTAAATGTAATGGCTGTTGTATATATTACATGATGAAAATCATAAAGAAACCAAGAACACATTTTTGTATAGTATTACAATCATTCTTGGTTAAACAAGTACTTTCAGTTTATTTTTATTCTTTAATCAAATGAATTAAATTCATTAAGCAAAATAATCCTTGCAAAGAAACATTAAATACTAGCTAAAAATAACTACTATCTTAATTTAAAAATATTCTAGTTCATTTTAAATTCTTCTGAAATTCTCTATTTTTATTTAGTGTCAACTGTACTAATAGCAAAGTACTAATTAAAAAACATTGTATACAGTTTCTCTATTTAAACTATTTCAAGTAGATGTTCGAGAACTGGTCGAATGCACATTTAAGTAATAAATAAAAATATCGCAATTATTAATATAAATTAATATATTATTATATAATATAATTATTGCAGATCGAAATAAACCATAACTACGAACACGATATCACTATAAGAAGCGAAATCTTTCAAATAGAAAACTATTTAGCACTAGTGACTGAATTTTCACCGATAAGTGGTTAATAAATATATAAGTTCTATACAAGCAGTGAACATTACGTATATCGCGTTAAATCGATCATGCTGCTGCGTAATAGAAGTTTTCCTTCGTCATATTAAAAGTATGTTGTTACAGATGATGATACCAAGTTTCTTTTTTAATTTGCGTATTGCGGATGGTTTATTATTTAATTGTATTCTTATTTTTCATTTCGCTCAAAATAGCTCGAAGCACGGCCCCTCAACCCACCATTTCTTTACTCCTTTCAATGGTAATATGCTAAAAAAATCACTTACCGGATACGATCTTGTTGGCGTCCGCGATCACCCTTTGCCGTTTCTTGTCTTTGTCGTCTAGTTCGTCGCGCGACTTTTTGCTCATCGTGTCCGCTACCTGACACTTGTGCTCGAGAAAATCGGCCATTACATCCCTTAGCTCTTTCTCCTCGCTCGCGTATTTATCTTTGATGGGGGTCGAGGTTCCGTTGAACACAGTGCCGTTTGTAATCGTGACATGCTGTTTCGCTGTTAAAGTGCGAGAAAACATGTGGTTCTTTTAAACGCCACGCGGGAAAATTAACCGATGGTTCATTAAACTTTCACCCATCCCAGATCATATTAAGATTCCCACTTGGTGATAAAAAAAAGCGTTTTGGCAAAAATTAATTTATCGCTCGCTGATTGCAAAATTTAATCGAAATAAATATTTTCTGTCGCAAGAGACAGGTGAGGGTTAAAAGCGATTCGTCGTGTGCAGATTAATTTTCAAATTTACAAGACTGAAGCAAAATCCGTTCGAGGTCAGAACCTTGCCGAGTTTATTGAAACGGCGCGTACGAATGTGCAACTGCGGCGAATACTTAATTAAAACTATGCGGACATACAGTTTCAAATATACAGCGACATCGTTATACACATCTGCTTGTGCTTTCTAAGAAGTGCGAGACGAAACTTATGATTTCACACAGTTTTCTTGGCAATGACACGGAATAGAGAGCCGGCGTGTTATTCACAGGAAACAAAGCAATTACGTCATATCCTTTCTAATGTTGTAACCGAATAAAGTGTGACTTTAATCGTTACAAACGTAGATTGAATACTTTATCTTTTCCATATCGAATCGTAAATACTTTAATTTATAAATTGGCACAATTGTTTAACGTATAAAATACTTACGTGTATCTTGTTTCGTGCTGCTTATATTAAGATCTTCAATGGATCCAGTTTCCTAAAGACACACGCGACAAAACCAATCGTTTTAACAAATTCATTTTATCTGAGCAACAACGTTTGTCACTTTATTTAACAAATTATATTAAAAATATCAGAAGTAGACTTCCAATGTATAATATTATTTAATTCACAATTTCTTCCGCAGGCTACATTTTCAGGCAGTCATCGGACAGCTAATAAATAACAATTATTTGTTGTATAAGTACAAACCTTGCTTTTGTTGTATTCATCGTAGTCTGGGTCCATATTTGGATCCATCTTCGCGTCACGTCGCAGGGAGGTGTCCCTGGACGGACCCAATTCTTCTTTCAAAGAATCGAATCCAGGTTGATCCAACCGGACCCTCGCGACGGCTTTTTCAACGTCGTCAGTGACCAACTCGACGTTGAATATACACTTTTTCACAATATCTTCGCGACCAATCTTATTCAACGCTTTTTCTAAAGTATTTCCTGCACACAAAAATATTTTTCTTACATTGAATAAAAGTTTAAAAATTCGTCATTAATTTTTTTTAATGTGTAAATATATTATTAACTCGATTAGAAAATAGTAACACAATTTTTTATTAAACGATATTTGAAATTAATTTTAATTTAATGATTGTAAAAAATAGTCGAATTAAAAAATATTTCTATGAAGACTGCATACCGAATACAAAACAATACTGACGCAAGAGAAGCTTTACATATTTATGCTTCGCTTGCAGCCAGGCTACATACTCAACGAATTCCTTTACTCTGTTGCAGGTGCAGCGCAAAAATTCCTTTGCTACTACACACGAGAGATTTGTCGGAATGACTTTTTAAATAACCAAACATACATATATACATGCGCTTTTCTAATATTTATCGTAGAATAATTTTATCCACTTTTAAACTCCATTAAAAAATAATCAACGTCCCAATTTTGACAAGAATTGATCACAGAATTAATCTGCATGGAGGGTAAACGTTATCTTCGAACAGACCTGAGCTCACGGAAATTTGACATTTTTGACAGGATGATCTCCTAAACAACACTGACAGTTCACTGACGTACGTATTCGTCGCTTCATTTTGATACTCTTGATACAAAGATATAAACATTATCACGTTTATGTCTTATCAGAAATAAAAAAAAAATAACAAGAACACCAAAAAAAAAATGGACGAAAGTAAATTGGAGGGACACTTGTATGCACGATTACTTTCACCGTATCCTCAGCGAGATAGTGCGTTAACTTCTGTTTGTTTTAACCGATTGCAGAACAGAAACTGTGATGCGCTCACGGGCGTGCATTTCTACTGTCTCGTCAGTGTCATTGGTATTGGTAAAAAAAAGGCAGGAGGGGGAAAGGAGTCCATAGGTTGATGTCAGGCATAATAATGCAGGATGAGATCACCAACTACGTAGCTCCTCAGATTCCTCGCGTCTTAGTCAAACGCGACTGTCTGATTAATTGACCTTGCCAAGGAACAGGTTCTTTCTTAATTACTATCGGTTAACACATCTAACGTTTGTTTACAAGAAAAATAAAAATAAAACAGACTCCGAATCTTTTTCTTAATAATACAAACGCCGTGTCCTTACTAAGAAACTAAGGAGTATAATTTTAATTTAATTTTCATGAAGTTTGCGCATTTTTCAAGGGAACTGTAACTCCGAGAATAGAGTCATGACCTTTCGGTATATTTATAAGGATGAAATGATATAATACGTATCACGGAGCTAGTAATAATTGCCCCATTATCATGCGCTCAGTATTTTACTCGAGTAATAGATAGAGAGAATTCTTATATTAGCGTCTGAATAATAGTTCCATTCGGTGAGAAATTATTCGTTAGTCATTCGTAAACTGGTTACTCGAATCATATTTATTTGAACAGGATTCCATTTGTCACCGTTGAATAACGTTTCGAGCGAAGGTTTATTTGTTCGCAGATATGATGCATTAAAGCATGTTTAACTTCGTTCAAGTAGTAGCGAAACGCAAAGGGAACTTATGTCATCGTCAATACTGAATTCAAGTGCCGTCAAAATTGTATTTTTAATCACCAGTTATCCAAATGTCAAATATCTATGTAAATGTTGAGGCAAATATATCGTTCGAGTGTTTACTGATATTCGAGATAAGAACATACGATTATCTCTCGGGTAAAACTAATCCTTACATTTTGCCAGCGTTTGCTTGAATATTTTAAGAAACAAGAATCTATGCAATATGGATTTTAATTAATAATGTATATGAAAATTATGTATTTATTATTATCAAATTTCATCGGAATGCGAACGATATCAGAAATATTATCGATTAATTAATAAATGATTTAGCTTATTCATACACTCATTCACTCAAAGATTTATTAATGGTTTCATAATGGCTTAGTAATGATTAAATAATGATACTTCAAGTAATTAAATAATGATATTCCAAAATATTCCGCTGATCGTTGGAATGACGCGATGATAGATAAATAAAGGAGCTCTTGCTGTTCTTGATAGAGGAAGCCAAGAGCAAAAAGATCGCTTTTGATTTATCCCGATATTTCAATCGATTTCGGAGATTTAGGGTTCCAAAGTTTAGGCGCAGCGCTTATTGTTAGTATTACTGACACAGGTCAATGACCTGTACGTTACGCGCATCAGCTGGGTGTCTAAACCGGTTGATGGGGATTAGGGCAGGCGTCGTGAGTCGGTCAACGTGCGAGAAGGACGACAATATCAGCGTCGAAAAAATTATGGTTGCCTTCACACGATATCTCCGGAACCGAAAATCGGATCGAAGTTTCATCCGTTTATTATTATTTATTGCAAAGTTATTTTTACGTTTCTCTCTTCGGTGTGTGTCAGAAAAGTGAATATCAAAGACTCAACCATGCCAATTGACTGTCCAGTAGAGATTAGAGAGGAAAATCATTGGAAAATAAAATAATATATCATAATATTTTATGAAACTCACCGGTAGCTTTGTTCCCGTTGCCGTGCCAAACTTTAAGCATCGCCGCTGCTTGCTGGGCGGGTTTGTTAGCATACTCCTCTTTGATCGTCGATACCTCGTTCGGCGGTATGTTCAACTCTTCCGCGAGTTTCTCCCAGTCGTTGTCCAGGAGGTTCGCGATATCTGTCAGCCGAATAGTCGCTCTGTGAATAGCGTCTGGACGACCTGGGAAACAATTAACGTTTGCATTATTCTAGTGGAATCCTGCATTTCCTTCGTGATCGGCAGATTGCGAATTCTTATGTCTATTTTTACATAAGTCTATTCACAAAGACTATTATAAACGATATTAAAATAATTAATCTGGCAGTGAAATAATACATATGAATTTTGTTTATTTATAAAATGAATTAGAATTAATTTTTCTCTATATTCATAAAATCCACTTACTTATTCCTCCATCGCGTAGGAAACTGTAATTCTTCGAAAGTTCTAACAGGTCCATCTCCGAGGCTGCAGGTTCCGACGAGATCTTCTCCGGCAGTAAAATGTTCAACGTGCAAATCGGCGTTTGCGGCAATTCACCCTTAGGAACTTTGGGCTCGCTCATGAACATTATACGACCCATCATGTCCGCAGCGTCCGGGTCCTTCACCCTCGCCGTGAACGGCACGCGGTTCTCCTTGAACGCTCTGAACGGCAGTTGAAGCTGTTCGCCGCTCTTCAACACCGGCACGAGGTTACCCGAAAATTCCATGTACTGCGTTTTGCCTTCCAACACCTATGGGAACGATCGCACGTAACAATGTGATAATTACCAACGGGTATGACTCATGCGACCATTTACAAACGTCCTTACCTCGACGTCGCGGCTCTTTGCGACCTCCGTGAAATGTTCCTGATGCTCCAACGTTTTGTCCTCCTTGTCGTCGGTCATACAAAATACGCGCAGCCTCGCCTCCAACGGATCTACTCGCTTCGCGAATACTACGAATCTGAAGACGAGACAATTATCGATAACAACGCGATTCTCTACGATGTTGTAATCATGCAGGTAAAACATAAGTGGTTCCTATCTTGTTCTACGATATTCCGTATATTGTAGAAACTGTAGAAATAGAAAGATAAAATATCTATGAATTAAAACTAAGCGGGATATCCTTGGACCGTAGATGTTCATAAAAATTCATCTCCAGTTTCACTTACTAAGTACTATAAAATGTAAAAACGCAAACATGAATCGATCGTTCGAATATTTTACATGCCGTATGCATTCGTCATTTGTCTTGCGCGTTTGAATTATTCGTAAGCGCGTAAATAGCTGCGGTTTAAACGTAGCACTACGCAAGCGAAGTGCTCTCTCCTTACTTATCTCTTACCGGCACAGAATAAATCGTAAACACATACAAATCCGATTTTTAGAAGTAATTTGTTCTACCTGCGATTACGTTATGTTAATTGTTCATTCTTTTTATTTTACGGATCGTGAGATAATCCAAAACGTACTTAGCCATGAACGGCACGTGCGTCGCGTGCGTGTACAGCTCCGTAGCCATTTTTGTGGCTTCAGAGATGTTCCGACAATCCATTAACCAGAAGCGTGCGGACACGGTGGTGGAAAACGATACGCAATCTTTCACGAACGTCAATGGCGTCGAACCTGTGACATCCTCCCAGACTGCCCGTGACTGACCGCCTGAACGACATATATACCAAGTCCAATAACATTATTAAAATATGTCCGTGCTGCGAATGGAGAATCGGCAGAAGTGATATACAGTATGTGTGAGATAGAAGTAAAACCGATGCGACACCGAGATTAATTACAATCAGGCGACTTTAGTTCGAAATTTTTACCCTCTGACTCTTTTAATTAATTAAAGTATAATTGAATAAAAATTTTAAGTAAAACGATCGAAGAGCTTTATAATAAAAACAAATTCATTATTTCACAAATATTCTGGATTTGAGTCATTATTAAATTATTCTAATCGTATATCGTACGGCAGATATGAATATTTCAAATGAAAGGATAAGTAGTACACGAGTAAAAATTAAAGATAGAAACAATAAACGTGGGATTAATATTTGTATTTAATTTCGGTCGCCACAGGTGCGTTGATGTTACGTGCTGTATCGTGTATGTGTGGCAATGTTGAACAAAACGAAATACACGTTGACCGTATGATAATGCTTGCCAAATAAAAGTAAAGCGTCATTCATTGAAGATCGCGCAGAAAGCAATCGCGAAACGTGAGTATGCATTGAACGATAAAGAAAAAAGTAACAGAAAGCCGTGAAATAATCGTATAAAATAAGAAACGCGGCAGAAAGCATGTCGAAAACATATCTTCCTGTTCTTTTGTCGTATTAAATATTTTCAATAGTACTCGACATCGTTACTGGACCAAACAAAACCGAGAATTTTCATCCGAAAGTAATAGAGAAAAAAAGTCTGACAAATCGTACGTTGGTCTTGAAGAATTTACGTGAACAAAATAAAGTACACGGCTGTAAAAAAAATGTTGAGATTAACAAAGAGAATAAGACTGTCAAGTATTTTTGTATCGGTAACATGTCGTACATGATTGATATTACAAATGATCTAAAAATACATGTATATATATATATTATTTTGGGAACAATCTTTTACAGAAATTTTATATATATTATATATAAATTACAAGCCTAATATCGAAGCGGTTACCAGTCAAACGTATGTGCTGAAACAAAAACTTTTGGAGTTAACGCTTACAATGAGCTAGGTAGTAAAATTTTATCTACATTAATTGATAATCCATACCTAAATGACTCAATCCTAACAATATGCAAGCATTAACAATGAATCACAACAAGATATGTATACAACAATGGTACTCAACGAAATGTTTCTATGAAACATGCAGCTACCATCTCTCCTTTAAATCTCTATCCGAAGATCTCCGGGACATTTTCCATCAAACACTTTTCCTGAACGACCAAATCCCTAAGTACCTATAATATATTTATATAAATAACGATAATTAAGTAAGAAATCTGACAAGAGCATATACGACACGGAGTGTTAATAAAACAACTTTCGAACATCGATTCTAAAAGCTTTCTAGAATCGGTACTTTAAACATCTTCTTTTTAACACTCCGAGAAAACCCAAGGTGTTTGAGGCGTAAGTTTCAACACTTATCGGTAAGAGATTTTCCAGTAAGACGGTACGCTGCGCTACAATATTACGTGCAAGCATATATTACCAGTAATGCTGCACAGAATTCTCAACGTCGGCGCGTCTCCGGAATATTGGTTGATCATGCCTTTGTTGGCTGCTTGTGGCACGGGTATGGTCAAAGTTATCGGTTTGTGGAATTTTCTTCGTCTCGGTTCGACGGTTACGATCGGTGATACGGCCACTCGGTTGCCAAGCAACTTGGCTACGAGATCTGCCGGTATCGGATGCGCCTAAACGACAACGTAGACCATGTTTAATCTAATTCATAAATTGTGTCGAGTCACGAAGGCGATCATTTTATAAGAACGTTTATTAGTACATAATTTGACACCAAACATTTGTTAATCAAATAGAAAAAAACGTCGTCAAAAATTTTGGTGTTGAACAATAGATTTTATGCCAAGTATGGAAATTAATATATTAATTACTTACCTGGAGGCCAACCCTGATCTTTTTGGTAAGAGCCGCTGGTGGGAAAACGGCCTGCACTTGTGGAACAGCCGATGAGGAAACTGTGCCACCCTCTGGACCAACTGCGTGCACTTCTTGCCTGATGCGAGACACTACAGCGAAGTAATGTGGGAAGTCCGCGGTAAGTATCCTCACGATACGGGAAGTTTGGAGATCCTCAAGCTGGCTTAATTCTGTAAACAGATTCGAGGATATTTTATCAATAGATCGTGTATCCTCGTACATTTGTTAAATATCTAAATGCGGAAGTGAAGATAATGACACAACGATTAATTAAGATTAATACGAGGTATTTTGGATTACATTGATGATATAGAACATAGGAAATACCTGTACCTTCTCCTTCAAAGCTCTCATTAAGCACATCCTGGACAGCCTCCTCGCTGGCCTCCAAGGTGTGCTCGCGCCAAGTTTCTCCATTATCCGATCGCAGTATTACTATTTCGCGTTCCTTCCCTCGCAACGAAGCGAAGTGTGGTACTTCTATGATGACGGGGCTGTATTCGAAAAAGATTACCGATGCTTTACAAAGAAAAACACCTTAACTTTTGATTGAAAAACTTCTGCTTTGCATCATATTCCAGAAGTTCAATTAACAGAAATAATTCGAGATACGCTATCATAATATGAACGCATTAAGCGCACACAATAGAATGTGGGTCAACGAAGATTATCTTAAATCTCTGTACGATACAAACTAATGTTAAGTTCCACGATGACATCAGTGCATAATTTAGTATGTAAAATATCGCGCGGATCGATAGTCTAATTTTTCTCGAATACAAGTTTAAGACTAGTTTAAAGCGACTTACCCTAAGAACTTGGCACCCACGGGACCGAGCTCCAGAATACGGCTGGCCAGGGCTTCTCCCTCCATCAAGGGTGGCGGGTTCGTTAGTTTGTCCCTCCTCAAATACCTGCAGGTAACTCGCATTGGCATCGCGGCTTTCCTGGGAGGAACGATCACACGTACGCCGCTGTGCCTGCACCCACGCATCGCACCCCCTCGTGCATCCACCAGGAAGGAAACCAGGAAGCTATTGTTCGTACAATGAACACGATTATAGGCCGAAGTCGACGAAGAAAATTATATTGATTTTGGGACGGTTTATGGTACCGAGAAAAATTTGAAAATAAGAAGGGTCCACTGCGTAGGGTTTACTTATTCCCCGGATAGTCATGGAAGATTACCCATACAAATATAGTGCGATCATATTTGGCTGTTCGGCAAATAATTATTACGGATCATGCTGATTGCTTCGCTTAAATCAAACCAATTATAAACAAAGAGAAATAAATATTTTTACTAGTTATGTATATACGTTTCATATGTACACTAATCTATTTTGAACGATCGTTAGGTTTCTCGTATATCCGCGTCTAAAATCTTATATACATACGAAAATAACGTTATGAGCGTATGAAAACAGGAATAAAGCAAGTACGGTGACTAAAAAAAATTGTTACGATACTGAATATATGTTAACAGATGGATCTCATTAATCGAAGAGTTGAATATAGAAATGCAACGATAAATTTTTTAGTCACTGAACTTACGCAAGTTGGATTTATTATTTAGATCGTAGTACTTGGGGAATTCTATTCTAATCCTTTCTTCTTATGATTTGTAATAAAAATATTTCAGACAGCCAATTAAAAAATACGACTGAGTTATTTCGTAAGCACGCCAAGCCGAAAAGCAACGGTTCACGGTCAATTTTTACTAAAAGCGTAGAGTTAAAGAGTACTAAAATTATTCGTAAACGCGTCGAGTAATTCAGAGGATTGAAACGTGTTCAGAAATGTATTAAACGGTTTGAAATGCTCCGATTTATTTCGTGTGAATCGAAATTAATTAATTACGTCTTATGGTTGCGTACTTATAATAACTGTAAAAAAGAGCAAATTAATCACAAGACAGTGAAATGTGTGAAGATAAGTTATATGAGAAATGGAGCAAATTAAATTTTAAATTGAATATTTGTAAACTAAACTATCTGTACGGTTTGTGAAGTTGTGTAGGGGATTTGCATGGATATTCTACGTATTCTGTAAGCGTAAAACCAACATGGAATACATTTACCTATATAAAAAAATATTTAAAAAAAAAGATATATGTACACGTAATAATCACAGGCTGACTCAAATTAATTGATCACTTCCTATTACATGGCTGATGACTGGTGCTGGTGGGTATACATATGTATATACTCAGTTCCTTAATGAGCCTGAGAATTATTCACAGATGTTGCATTCAGTCCCGTGCACAGTGAATATAATCGGCGACTTGCATATTTCATTTCCATTCATTCGAGCGGTATCATAAAAAACATTTACGCGAATAATAAAACGCCTTGGCAAACAGCGTTTCGTTTTTCATTTTCATACGTGCATCAAATTGAGTGGTCTACAAATATGTATTGATAGCACATCAATTCCGCGAAGGCTGTTTAGTGACGTAACGGGTACACCTCATTGTACAGCTTGGGACAATGATTCCTGGCCAGCTCCGGCTTATGTTAATTTCCCCTAGGAGGATAGATTAAGAAGCACTAGTAAATTTATGTATCTTTTATCAATGCTTAATCATGACATTGATACTGCTAAATTTTGACGTAATTTTGACGTTTCAAAATTAAAACAATTTTAACAGAGAAATTGCACACGACCTTATTTATGGCTGACCACTGGAATTACAACTTTCATTGCAAACATTTTTCGATAGCGGCAACGTTTAAGAAGTTATTGGTAATAACTTTTCAATCTGCGTATATTCATTGTGCACTACGTTCTACTTAATGATTACTTCAGCGACTACGGGGCATTGTGCGACTAATAAAGAAAACAAAAATCGTATCTATATGAAAAGTACATATAGATACGCAAATCAACTGTTGAACAGCGGTATACAGCGAGCAGCGGAAGCTAAGATTCAAGAGAAGATCACTTACTTTCTCCACTGTGGAATTCTGCGAGTAGCGCAAATAAAATAACAGAGAGGATCGGGAACAAAATAAAAAACGCGTTAGTATCCATTCGTTCATATACAATAGATGGTGATGAGAGAGATGACGACACAGAGATGAAGTCGAGATTCTGAACTTGCGCAGACTCTTACAGATTTTTCAGACACATTTCTCTTTTCAACACGCAGCGCGTATTAGTCTCGTCCATACGAAAAGCGATCCACGTGATAAGATCGTTTTGTCTTCGACCGTTTCACGGACACTACTTTTCCACGGTGCGAAACAGGGATTAACAATAATAATTATGTATTATAGTAGAGACGTAACAACCACTCGCACTCTGCGGAAAAAAGACATACGTTAGGGTGGCAACGTAAAACGGGTTGTGTTCCGAAATCTGTAACGCTTCACTTTCAGGACTTGTTTCTTGTATTACAAGTGAAATGGTGAGGTATAGTGATGTTTAAAGTTACCGATACAGATTTCGGTACGTATGCAAAAATAGCTGAAAACTTGTAACGAGGGGAAAGGGGGGACACTCATATGAGCAGCAGCCACTATTAGATGTCTAACGCATGATTGAACTATTGATAAACTAAAGGACGAACGATTCTTTTTCTACGCCTACAAGAGCACTCCTCATATTTTTTATCATTACTTAATGTCGACTACGTGTAAGTAATTTAACTTATTATTACCTCTATATGCTGAGAATAAGAAGCCTCTATAAGGTTTCGATAGATATCTTAAAATTACGAATACGCAAGCTATTTCAAATTGGACAAAGACGTTAATGATAAAAATTCAGAAAGGGACGCTCGTACTTTATAGACGAGTGTTTTACACAATCTTCTTTCGTCTTCTGCAGCGATTCACGAATGTATTTGAGACATTCATCACAGCAGATTCTTCATAAATGCATTATATGCGTTAAACAAAATATGTTGAATTTCATTAACTAATGAAATTTCGAACGAAAATTGTTTAATATAAAATGCTTGTAGAAATTTTCCATGACGAACGTCTAAATATTTTTATGAATCACTGCATGTGCGAAAACATATAGATAGAGACAGAAAGAGAGTAATAAAAAGGACGTGGTGTACCTGTCCCTCCACATTCCTTGTCCTTTCGACATGGTACCAAGAGCTGCCAGCGATGTGTTTAAGGACTCTAGGGACGGTCTGATCTCAGAACAAAATCTAGTGTGATTATGGATAATATCTTCATTTCATGCGCATGCTTAGGAATTGTTTGTTTGCTCATTTCTATTTCGTTCGTGCACGTTGCACTTCCTGCTTGCTTGTCTCTCTGTGCATGTTGAAGAAACCACATTCTACGTTTTTCGGAAACGGGTGCGTGCAAGACACGTGTGCTCTTGTACGTGATAAGTTAAGAGGGAAAACGGTTTTTTAAAAGGATCACGCCCAAGATAGGGAAGGTGCATAACTGGTTACGAACAAGTTGTCATTTGTCCGTTATGTATCGCACATGTTCTACTAAGCACAAAGAGGGGATTCATTGCTTGCCCAAGGTACAAAGTGTCCTTGTATTTTTAGATAATAAAATGAGCAAAGCGAGTTTTAAACTAATAATTTTCTTGTAAATATATTAAACTATTAGAATTATAATTCACGTTGCAGAAAAACATTTCAACATTTTTCACTCGAAAATAATTTACATTCCGTCTTGTTATCTTCATGCTTAGTAGATCATTATACCGTGTGTCTGGCTAGGTGTAGATGACTTGACTGTTAGACCTCCGCGGTCGCATCCAAGGATTATTAGTAAGGAACACGGCCGTCCAGTTGGATTACTTACACCGTCAAAGAATCGTTCATCCCAAAGACATTTCAAGAACAACATGCTTATTACTAGATAATCTAGTATGTACCGCTACGAGCAAGACAGGATGTAAACGAGGGCACCAAGCGGTTGGCTCTTGTTTAGCTGGTCGGCTGATTGCATAAACGTTTCAACTGAACATTCTTGAGTGGAATCAAAAGAAAGTAGATAAAAATAGCTTGCTATGAGAGATATGATGTATTAACGAAACACTGATTAGAGCGCAGTTACTGATTTCGTTCTCGTTGGCTCCACTTTGAAGTATACTCCATGAGTGACGCAGTCTCTGCACATGGGTGACATTCGCGCCGTTATGAATTCATTATGTCTGCGATTATGTAACAGCGCATTATGTCGATTATAGCGCACATCCCGTAGTAACTTTTTTACATTCTATATAAAGGAAGTCGTTATTATGTTATGTTATCTGATCCATTTTTGTTCATTCATTTATTGCAAAATTAACAAGAATTCGTTTATTTATTGAAAATTTAGGAAAAGCTTCTATCCGTTCGTCTATGTCAAAATTATATGTACTCTAAGCCAACCGGAAGTTAATTTGTGAAAGTAGAAAGTGCTCGTTCAATGCGACTCGTGAATGAATACAGATTCCCTTAGTCCTATATCATTTTGTTGTTACATATCAGCCAATAATGTAGAGGATTAATTATAGCAGGGTCTCTCACCAATGCACACCGTGTCACACTATAATACACAACATTATTGTTTTATGATACGAATATTTCTAATTATTCTCGCGTACCTATGTACGTGCTTGTCTACGTTGTACATATATACAATTTTTTGTAGTATCCAAATTTCGACAGCTATTCATTCACTGCAATTATATACTTCAATCTCATATGACAAACATTAATTATATCCTCTTCGAAGAAATGATATTGTTTCGTGAATTTCATCGAAGAATTTATTTTAATATCTCTGTGCAATTGTACTGCGAATCTAATCTAATTCTTTCGAAATTTCTCTAAGAGAAATAGTTTCGAAGTTAAAAGTTTCATTACGACTGCAGTTTCGATATCGTGTTAATCTCTGTACATACACATTTCATCGATACGTTGCGATTTTTATTAAGTATTAAAGACAAACCATGCAAATATAAAGATTGTTCTCAGCGATTTTTCTTTCGTCCGAAGTAGTTTAGTTAGTAGAAATCTGACTAAACATCTCCTTTATTCAGTTTATCGTGCACGCCCGTGTATCGCTTAAACAATTATTCAAATCAACGGCTGCTAAGACAATTTAGAAAATTACAGATGCGTTCGCATACTCTGCGTATTAGAACCAAATACGGTATATTCTAATGTTCTGCAGAGAAGTTTCACTGATTATCACTCAATACAATATTCAAATTTAGCCATGGTTTTGCAAATATTATGGGGGTAAGTTGTATTGAAAATTGTAGTCAAACGTCTAACGAAGAAAAATATTGTCAAGCAATTTTATAATACAATAGTGTTGCTTGGAGAATATAGTACTATACAAACAGAAATTGTTAATACAACCTACCCTGTCTAATTACTTATTGTCACTAAACGAGTATTATTTAAATGTATGAGTAAATAAATACATACCCGACATGTACTGGGTGCCTATTAATATCAACATTATCTGGTTTGAGATTGGCAGCGTTTGTACGTTGATAATGTTCTTTTGTAATCATCTCGGTTATGGTCGGTGCTATAAATTAAACGTATCGTCGAACATGCATTAAATGTCCGTTTCAAATATTTTTTATATTACTTAAGTTAAGGAAACGTTTCTTTCAATTAACTGTATCAAGTTTAACTTTTAAAACATTTTTTCGTTGAAAGAATTCCAAAAGATTACGCGTATGTTAAAAAAACTAATATTTTTAGAAAGATAAACTCGGAAGCGATAGAGCACGTACTATTAGAAGATCACAACAATGCGACTACCAGCCGTCCGGACGTCTTTTGTATTGCAAGACTCATTAATTTATGAGCCTCCGCCGCGGTCGCCGACGATCTTTTATTGTACCTCGTTGAACCCGGCCGGCAGCCGCGTTGTCGCGGTAAAGATAAAAACTACAGCACTCCAGTTAAGAGAAATTAACTTGCCCTTGAAATCTCTTCCGTGTTTCTATGAAACAAAACTGATTCCTCATACTACGTCCCACGCTAATAACAAGTTTCAGAAATACCAAATGGTATAAAATTGACGGGTAATTGATTCTAATTCGAGCGCCGAGAGTGAATTGATGAATACTTGAGCGGAATATTGAAACAATGAATTTATATACAGTTTCAAGATGCCATTGACTACAATTTTTTCATTTAGCTTTTTAATTAGTCGAAAAAGCTAATTTCGCATAATTAACACTTACCTCCGGAATGTCGATTGTCCCTCTCGTCGTCTGTCACGTTGACACGCATCGAGTCATCCCCCATGGACTTCATGTCGTCAACAGTCATGTATCGGTATTGCTGTTGGTCGCTGAGCATCGGATCTTCACCTATGATCAACGCCGAACATGTAGTATAATAATAATAATAATAATAATCGCGACGTGATAACGCGGCGCGGTAACGCGTATCAAATCCAAGAAGGGGAGTAATGTAAGAGATCTAAAATACGGTCGAACTTGCAATGAAAACAGTATGAAGATAATATGTGGGTGAAGAGATTATGCATCAAAAAGGTGAATGAAAATGAGTATGAGAGCCTGCAAACAAATGTATAAATCACTGCCACGAAAATGATCCAAGTCAAGCTTGAAAAAGCGAAATCAAAGTATCATCGTATCGTTACCGTCGTTATAATGTATTTTATATAACGTGATTACTTTGGCCTTACTCGGTACAGAGTAAAAAAACCCATGAATTGATTTAAAATTTTGCAGGTAATAGGAATCTCTAATAACAAATGCAACATGTTAGCACTGTTTAAGTATATAGCCTATACATTCTTAAATCGTATTGAGGGACTTGACGTATTGTTTCACTTTATAAATCGCACTTAATTATCAGCTACGAAAATACTCAGGCTAGTATTTAAAGAATTCGCTTTTACGTCAGTCATCATCGACACGACCCAAATCTTTCAATAACGTTCAACATCGTTTCTTGCTCATCACACACTCCAATAAAGATGCGAAATCACAAACTGAAGTTGATTTAAGATCGACGAGAACTTGAAATCATTGACACCCACATTGAATTCCGTACTTATTCCAGATAGCACAAGAAACATGATCAGTGGACAACTAAAAGTACTTCGACTAAGAGTCCAAGAGTACGGAAGAGCAAAAGTATACGTGTACCAATGGTATCACATTTTTGTAACGACTGAGGTAGATAGCTCGGTTAACCAATCACCTTACACTTCGTTAAACGCACCTTATCAGATATGCCGAGAATATAGAGCACAATTATCTAATGAATGGACAACCTACAAATTCTGCTGCCCACGTCGAGTAACGCAGCTATTAAAACTAAACTAATCTGGCGCAAACGAAACCTATGTAGCATGTACTTATGTATCTTCTTTTCGCTATCTCAGGAATGTACATCTTGTCAGCATTATAAATACATTTTTACGACAGTCTTATATCGCTACGCGACAAAAAGAGGTTCTGCTATGACCAAAAATTATTTCTGTGCTCTTTAGAAATATTAACCTTGATCTAAAAGAATTTTTAGAAGTACCATTGTCTAGTTTTGTGTTGTGTTACTTTAATCTGTTTGCCATACTTCCATTTATAAATACATTGAACTCTTCGTACGGAAAACATCCATTTATGATATGTAACTTTACATTAAGATAATTTTTATAATTGGCAATTGACGACTGATAGAATTAGTTCTTTTTCGCTCTGATGATAATGTTTCAAGAGCTGTTCGTACGCAGGAAAACGACGCCGGCCGTTATCTCTGGAGGTCGGGAGAGATCATCAACGATCAATAATATCTAAAATTAATAGAAACGCGGAGCGGTCGGTTCGCGAGCATGGAGAAATCGTACCGCGAAAATCTCTAATTTTAGTCGATGTTCAAGGACACCCTGCTGAACGCGAATTCTAAGCCTCCTCAAACTCCCATCCTATCTACGAATAGTTGACCTCATAGACAGTGACCTATATCTCTTTCACGAGTATACGCGCACGTACGCACGAAAACTAACTGTGTAATCACGTCGAATCTTGTTGAATGCAGTCAGCCTCGCCGTCATAGACCAGAATAGTGCTAATCGCCATCAACGAGATACTCAGTTACTGTCACGTTGCATCGGCGTTAATCGAATTCCCCGATTCCACTTATAATTTTGTTCTTAACCATTAAAAAGATGATGAGCCATTAAAATGATCCATTTGATCAAACGCATTTCTGAAGCCAATTCTTGACTTCCACTTAAAAGACAAATGTACCTCAACTTTGCTAGGAACATGTGCGTGTATTTTGAAATTAAAATCATGTCTCACAAGGAATCGCATTTGTAAAATCTCTCATGAAATCGCAAATTTTATATTTATGTATCTGGTGCAACATAAACTCTTTCAGATAGAACGTGTCAGATTGACACGAGGGCTAGATTTGGGTTGAGCGAATCAGACGCGAAAGAGAAGCGTACAAGCACGTTGTGATAAAAAATTCAAAAACGTCGGCGGTGTGTACGTAGACGCCACTTCGAAACACCTAAACACACGTAGCCACCGATCTCGACCTCAAAAATAGCTCTTACTCGGTGCGAAAAAGCTCACCAAATCGCAGTATATTCGTCGGTGATCGCAACGACTGTTCGGGCAACCGCAGCACGACTTTGACACTTTTAACCAGACGCTAGCAGGTTTCGCTCGGACGTGTCAACGCGATTCCATTACACGCGTCACGCCGGCCATTGTCGATTTACAATTGTAATGAATTTTTATCGCGTGGCAATCGACGTGTCGCGACTGACGGCGCGCGCCGACTTTGACAGGAGTTGGTATGATCGCTCGGAAATCCGTGAAAAGAAACCGAGTAAATCATATTTTCTTACTCTGCCGGGTAAGAGGGCACAGACGCATAAACCGGCTGGCCTTGATCGATGCCCCTCCAACTGGTATTCGCGATATCATCGTTCCAGACTTATGTCACCGATTCGTCTGTCTCATTGTTATGTCATAAGCGAGGGGATCACAGTCACGTTCATCATGCTGCTCAATTAAGCGACCTGTACAGCTAGGTTCCTCTCGGTCGTTTTATGGCCTCCGTTGCTTTTGACTTGACACGTTCTATCCGTATTCGGTCTCGTTTCGATACCATCCCGTAGTCTGCTTTCGTTTCATGCTACAAATAGGTACGCATTTCCTTCATAGATCACACTACGGATATCCTTATTCATGAGTTTGAATAATTAAAATGATAATCCATGTGACGTGCAAGAATTTTCATTCAAACTTTATTTCTTTTATCATCTTGCTATAACTGTACCGTATCGTATGAACAGTCTATCGAACCTGGAGAAGGTTTCATGTCTGTAGAAATGCGATACATACAACTAAAGATCTTTTCGTCGGATGTAACGCTGCCAAACCAGGATGACATTTTCGAACAGATGGTGCGTGCATTTAAATTAGGTTTTCTTCGGTGGAGTGTCGTTCGCCGGTTGTTCGATGGGTTCTGCGTAAATATGCATCTAATTTTGCCCACGGTATTTCGGTTTACGCGGTGAAAAAGATGCTGAAATTTGCCGAACGTTTATACACTTTTGCCCCGGCCATGCTTGGCCGGCGCTGTTAGCTTAACAGACAGGAAGCGTAAACATTTTCGTAGAAATTATTACGCCAGTGAACGGGATTCGGTCTTACCGTTTAAATCTGGTAGTTGCATAAACGTCATTACCGTTCTCTGATTCAAATATACGGGCTGAGAATTTTTGATACTCTGATGCAATCAGGATTTAAAAAAATCTTGAATTTTTAGAGAATCGAAGACAAGTCTTTTATTTTGTCCTCAACAGATGATGAAGTATTTTAATAAATTAAACAACCGTGCCTTTATTCACGTTTTTGTAAATTATGGATACTTAGGCACGGTTAACAAGGTCTGTCTGAGAAAATAATGTCGCGTGGCCGAGTTTTTCATTAGCACTTGATACCTTTAGTTACCGTAACAGTGCTAAATATTTGACAAAGAACTTCCTTATACCTAATACTTTCGCTAAATGATTTATCTAAGATTCTCAAAAATATATAGTTTTATTCAATCACACATTTAAAACTCGAAACCTCCTACGCGCATTTTATATATTGCGTCACGAACCAGTGGAATCACCTCAACTTATAATACTCGCTATGATATTGTAAATATTAGAACCACATGAGTGACGTACCGTCATTTGCCAAAAGTTGCATATCGCTGCAATATAACTCAGGAGATCGTTTTATGTTCTAACAACAATACCGAAGTCTATTATTTGTTTCCTTAATGTTACCAAGAAGCGATTACCGATGACACGCGAAAATTCGATTTAACGAACCAAGCGAAACACGTGTGCGTCGGAGTAGAAAAAAAAAGAAAGAATAAAGAAAACGATGGTCGGTCACGCGATCACGACGAGCAATAACCGTGGTTGAAATTGCGTTAAGGGGAAGCATGGCTCATGAAACACAACAGAACAGTTGTATATGCATATTTACATGCGTTGTCGCTGCTCCTGTTGCTCGTGCACCCGCAACACGTTATCTTCTTCTTCGATTCCTTCCGCTTCGGTCGATCTTTGGCCATTTTGTCGAGTGTATTTTTTTCTTATAGCACGACGACGAGAAATAGATAATGAAATGTCGAGGACCACGAAAAGTTATTGCAAGCACGCGGCTGGAGTTGTGACGAACAGAACTGGATAAAAATGTTCAGCACATTGGAGCAACTTTGTACTCGGCCCAGTGAACACGATGTACTGACGGTGTACGCTACGTACAGGACTAATTACATCACCGACGCAACTAGCCTAGACGAGGATGTGTGCGTTAGGTCACACGAATTACAATTAGCGCACGTTATCGTTACGCGTTCATTGATGGCATCCATGCGGCTCCGATCGGAACACGTCACTAGATAGATTCCACTTCTTCGCGATCTATTTATCCGTTAAAAAGAGATCTGTTCACCAATGATATAAGCTGGGTCACACGAACTACAATTAGGACACGTTCATTGATGACATCCACGCGACTCGTTTCACTACGAATTCCTCCTATACTACCTCTTCATCCACCGGCTGGAGGATGTACGAGTTAGGTCAGACGAATTACAAATTAGCGCACGTTCGTTGATGACATCCACGCAATTGCATTGATGGCATCCACACGCCGGCTCACTTCACTGTCAGTTCTTCTAATCAGCCCGTTAAAAATCGCCCAAACCCGTAGAAACGTGTCCACCGTTTCCAGGGTGACTGGCTATTATCGGAGGTCCACGTTATGCAACTTTCCCTGATTAGATTGTAATTTGTAAATTGCATTAGCCGCGTCGCGTCTCTCGACGGCTCTTTTCTTCTTTCGCGGTTTATTTCGTCGCGTGCTAGTACCGGCGCGGCGGGGTCAGGAACAGCGACTGCTACGAGATTAATACAAGTTCGACGCGAGAGACCTACCTAACAAGAATCGTGACCTCATTCCGTGAATCACCAATTTTATAATAGTAGCTGCCTTCGAGCTTCTCCGCTAACTTTATTTACATCTTGTATGCTCGCGATTCTTTTTCCCCTTCGCACGCTCTGCTCGTTGGCGTGTCCAGACACGCGATTGTTGGCAGCCAGTGATTTTTCACGGGACATCGCGGCATCGCAAAACTATTTTATCAATTGATCTTAAGTATTACATGCGTTACTGCAAAATTTATTATTTTATCGTTTCTTAGATCGGGTGCATCTTCCGATTCTCATTCAGGACAAACACGTATTTGACCTGCTTATTGATGCAACTTCGATGTTTCAATTACATGAAGAAAGAAAAGTCAAACAAAGGAGCATAAAGAGGAATCGAAATAGGGTTGGTCAGCTCGTTACTCGAACCTATGTATCAATTCGTATCTCGGTTAAGCCAAGCTTATATACCAAGTTTTTCTCTACTATGAAGTTCTATGTACTTGATGAAGGCACGCGCGACCCATTTACGATGAAACGCGATCAATTAATAGCAACTTCCGCCGCGTCGTCGTAGTCGTCGGTCGGGGTGTTTCTCGATCACTTTTTCCCGCGCTTCGCGCGTCACGTTTCGAACGGGAGCGAACTGCGCACCGGTTTGTTGTTTCTCCAAAACAAATTCGTTATATAAATTCCGATATATTTCGGTCTTGAATCGTGTTTGGCGGCTCGCCAGCTAGCTCGGGGTTCGACTAACTGCAACGAATAATGTGCCACGAGATGCACACCGGCTGTTGCGTAACAGCTGAAGCGGAATGCGTATAGGTGTAGGTAATACGCGCTACCAAGAGGAGGACGATATGTCAAAACAGACCACACAAGCCTGGGTCTGTTCCCGTCGACTGGCGTAATGATCGCACAACTCGTTATTATGCAAATTGCATTAACAGTAGTGAACGCGCCCTACTTCATTAACGTGCCGTTTTCTGAATTTCAGACTCCGAAAACACGAAGCAACGCGCGTGACCAACGTCGGTTTAAAGTCCGGCCGTGGCTCGTTTCAAATCGAATTTCATTCGGGTTCCCACTAAAGTGAAATGCGTCAAGCTTTTCCAAAAATTTCTTTCAAATGAAATCAGTCGTATCAATTTCGCATATCTTCCAACTGTTATTATAGACGTTGTCGTAGTAATTTCTAACTATATGCTGTCTTTACAAACGAGCAGTGATGTAACGGAAATAAATTGCCGCTTAAAACGAGCAGCGCCTACGTGAGGTATTGTATGTGACGAGTAATGAACAGATGATAATGATCTTGTTGAATTTCAAGTAGCAAGAGTAGTTACTATGCATATATACATCTACTGCATGTAACATGAACTTCAAAAGAAATAACTGAGAATATCTCAACAATTTTTGTAGACAAGATTTTCAATAACGAGAACACTATCGTCTCCACATCCCTATGTATGCTTAGTAATTCAACAATACAAAATCAACAAAAGGCAGTCTTACTGATACAAAGAAACTTCAAACTAAAATCGTGTTTTCTAAAAGCATTTGTACTGACTATTCCCGACGAACGTATCAGTTGAATTTCGATAGCATTTAACAAAAATTTGTATGCGTCATCAAAGAACTCAAAGCGTAAATTCTCATTAAGAAAGTCGTATACAGCTACTACAGGCGTATTAAAAACACGGAAATTTGCAAAGTTACGAGGTAGGAGGCGGAGCGACCGGGAAGGTAAATGAAACAGAGTGTGAACAAATAGCGGTTTCGGGATAGGTATGTCTGTGCATGTCTCTGTATTTGCGTTTCCACGCATGAAAATGAAAACGGAAGGAATACGCAGAAAGCACACGGAAATTTCGACTATCCTCCGTACTCAACGATACGGTATCAAAGAGTAAAAAGGAACAACAGGAATCGAATTGCATCTTAGAGATACAAACTACTGTATACATTACTAAAATTCAATTAAAAGCAAATGCGAATGTCGAGCCAGTAAAAATTCGATCGGCACGACAAAAATATGTTACTACTGTTTGATACATGTATCCGAACAAAAAACGTGAATGATCCATCAATGACGGCGCGTAGTACGCGCGGCACATATGTATTATTATTTGATTTACGTACCCGTGTGCTGATATATGTAATGTATGTATAGATGTATAGAAAAATGTTACGCGCACGTGTGATATGTGATAAGAGAGTGACAGAAACAGAGTACAGACAACTTACGGGTATAGGTCATTTGGCCCTGGTAGTAAGAAGGAAGGTACACGTGTTGCGCGTGTGGAGGCTGCCCGTACACATTCATGGCTGCCATGCCGATTTCATCACCACCTACATCGTACGCCGTCGAGTAAGGTCATTTTTTTTATCAGAAACGCTAATTTTTGCACCATAAACACTGTTTCTAAATTTTCTCGCTATCACTGGGTTGTTAAGTAGCCGACACTCATTACGCAGCGGGTGACAAGCTTACCGTTAGTCTGTTCGTTTGCTTCGACCGATTTCATATACCTAGTACAAATATATAGAAAAGCATTGTTTTGCAAACAGTTTTAGAACATTTTCGTTTTGATCCAAGAAATGTATCCATCCGCATTATTTGCTACTAATATCTCAATTTTATGCGTGGGTGAGGACTATGTCAAAAACTATTTTAAAACAAACTGTTTCTAGGATCGTACTAGGTATTATGATTCATTATTTTAGCAATTTCAAGGTTGATCCATCGTTAGGGATTCTAATTTTTCCAATTTCATTGAATGTTAATAGCTATTACTTTCGTTTTAATTCCGCGTTTGTTAAAAACAAAACACATGAATGCGCGTTTCAATTAAGCAAACAAGCAAACCCGTTCATTTGATCGATGTTTTAATTAAAATTACTCGATCTAACTTGTAATCTAGCATATGTTACTGTTAACTTACACAGATAAGTGCGACTTTTTATCTGCTTTAGTCAAAAATCGAAAATATTATTTTGAAAAAATTGTTTACATATTATTGCTGAAATTTTAGTTATCGTTCGTGAGTTCTAATCGAAGTTGTATTACCTGTGTAAGGCGAATACTACTGTTCTATGACAACTATAAAATTCGGTATGTTCACAGTCTCTATGACTATGCATTAGGGATATTCGACGAATTATCGACTGGTGACTATTCGGAAATTTCGCCTAAGTATCTAAAGACTATACGGGAAGTTAAATATTTTCCTCGGAGGATAGCAACAACCCAGTGAATGTAGGCTAAAAACATGCTATTGCGAAATGAACGGGACATAAACGCAACAAAACAAGCAAATAATATTACCATATAGCACCTTGATTCTCTAAATCGGAAATATGGCAGACAATAAATTACGATCGCGCGATTCTTTTTTCTATTTGTTAAATAGAATGCGTCGTAAGTCGTATATATGATCGAATTCGTAGACACCTAATGACGGGTACCAATTGTTTCTCTAATCTGAAATTTTGAACGTGTCTGTGACTCGTTTTGTGAATTTCGCTAATTCGTGTCGGGGAGGAGGATTTAATAATGTGCATGCATGTCTCATGCGTTGTTAAGTACATACGTGCATGCACTTTCAAGGAAAATGAGTAAGTGAAATTTACTAAATGGAACAGTGCTATCTTCGTCCGTTACTCATTGTTGTTTTTGTAATTTTATGTTTAGTGCAGGAAAAATTTCTCTGATAAACTATAATTTATATGCAGTACGTATCTGCAAGGAGAATCGAAATCTTAATAAAATGCTATCGAAATAAATTGACCCGGAAATATTACAT